AATTCTTTTTTCTTTGCCTTAGTGAAAATTTCCTTATCAATTTGATATATTTTTCCTATTAATTTATCGTTTTCTTTCATTATATGTGGAAGGGATGCTCGGGGTGCCCAAATACTACCACTACCATGATCAGTGGCAAAAAAATATAGCATTAGGTTTCTTGAAAACTCAACTGTTTTCTGTGAAACGTAGCTCAAAATTCCGGATTTTCAGAAACAATATTTTCTCAAGAACAGCTCCAAAGTTTGCATCCGGATAGTGTTAATTGCACTCAATAATATGACGTAAAGTTCATTTCGGGTTACTTATTGTTTTACACTAATGTAATTGTTTTGAAAGAACCTCTCATGCACATTTCTAACAATTTTTATACACTATAGTATTTTTGAGTTAAAGTATGTCAAATGACTTCAAATTAAGTTTTTCGAAACCTCAAAAATTTTCTGTAGAAAAAGTGTTTCTAATTTACTGTAGCGCTCAAGCATCATTTTCTTAAAAATCGCTCCAAATTTTCCAAAGGAAATTTCAATTTAGGGCAAGGTTCTACTGTTCTTTAATATCCATAAAGTAATATTTCCATTCTACTATTAGGAAACCAAAAAATTAAGAAAATTTTTAAAAATTTACTGTGGACAGCGATAGATGGCAGCTGGCAAGAGTAAGTAGCAAGTTCGTATAGCCTACTGTGACCAAAGGAAATAGAAAACTAATATGGGAAAGTCTGTGCCATTCTGTAGCACCCCTAGCTATTGTTAGGATTTAATGACTTTTAACAATAGGAATCACTTAATTGTTCTACAATAGTTGGTATAGTAAATTTTGTTTTGACTTTTTTTGGCACCCTAATAAGCACCCAATTTACTCTATTTGACTGCTTTTTTAAAATTCTGCGTTAACTTTTCTTTCTGAACAAACAATTTACAAATTTCTGAAATGCAGTTTTTTGGCCTGGAAAGTATTTTTTCAAACCAACTTTTGAGTGCTTATTACGGCTCAGCCACTTGGAATATCCAAGGAGTTTATTAGACAAAATATGCTTTAAACTTTGTTTTAAGAGCTTATTTTCTAAGTTCCGTTGTTTCCTCCCTGCATACTATACATTTCGTACCAATCTATTTTCTGTTTTGTTCCAAATTCCTTTGGATATTCTATTAATGATTTGGTTTTCTTCATTATCTATCTTTTTGGTACTGTATTGGAAAACAGTTTTATACATTGTATTTATCGTTCATTATTACTGTTACATATTTACAGGAATTTTTAATTCTATATGTCGCAGGATACTATAGGTTTTATCCAGTTTTCTTCTATTTGTGCAAGACTTTCCTTCCTCCAAAAATACCTTTTTATTGTCAAACAATATTGCAATTATGAATTTAATAAAAAAAATAAAATAAAAAAAAACATTGTAATGTTATCTCCTATAAGGATAATTCAACACATTTGTGTTTTTTTGTTTTAAATATCCTCAGGCCTGGCAGCTTAGATTTTCACACCTTGTGGGTTATGGTGCCAAGTATTACTCTTATTTGCTGTCAAGAGCAGTTGCCTCATGGATATGGCAGGAATATTTTGAAGCAGATCCTCTGAATTCATCAGCTGGAGAACGTTATCGTCGGGAGTGCTTGGCTCATGGAGGAGGAAAGCCAGCTCGTGAACTGGTAGCTCACTTCCTTCAACGGGACGTTACACCTCAGAACCTTGCTCAGAGCCTCATTACTGAAATAGATAACAAGCAAGCTCATATTGAGAAAATGAGAGTGTGATGCCCTTTCTGTTAATTTTTCAGTTTCTTTAAATGTTTTTTTCAAACTCTAACATTGTAAATAAATGTATATACATATATAAATACATAAACATACAGTATCTCAGAATTTCTTGTTTCCTTTTAGTATACATCCCCCTGCAAAATCCCATCCATCTGCAAAAGAATATACAGATTACTGGTCACTCATTCCCTGACTTTTCCCAGTTTTCCACATTTGAACAAATTTTTCACTGATAAGATATGTATCTCAACCATTTAAATAAAACATTAAAGCAAGTCTATAAATAATTTGTCAGTTCTCTGATTTTACCGAAATACAGTTCATATTAAAAACTTAACAAATAGAAATTCTGCAAAAAAATGCTGATGTTGTTTGTAATAAAACATTATTTCTGTAAAAAATCTCAACATTTTCCCCTGACTTCTGACAATTCTTCCAGAAATTCCCTGATATTCCAGAGCGATTAACTCCTCTAATTTTTCCAGAAAATTGCCATCCTTTGGGGTGGGAAAAAAAAAAAAAAAACTGTATACAGTAGACCTGCAAAATTGATTTATTTCGAAGGTCTCTGGATTCATAAGTAATGTGATTTCAAAAACAAAGTATTAAACTGATTGAAGAATTTTCCTGATATCTTTCCAACTTCAAGTATTTAATAAAATGAAATTACTTCATGAGACAAGTTAATGAAATCTCAGACCCTGAAGCAGAATGTTACAAGGTTACCTCATATTCTAGTTGGAAATATAAATAACTCAACCAGAAAACAGAACTCAACCTAAAATCAATGTTCTACTTCAATTTTGGAGACAACTGAAACAATTAAAGTTTTATCTCTCAATTTTATCAAAAAACCAGCCAAAGTATGAAAAATTCAAACTTACAGTTTTATTTCACATAGAGGAATTTTATAGTTTAAACAGTAGTTTTCAGAAAAAGAAAGTAAAACATTTGTAAAAACAATAAATGCAAAAGTGTTTATAAACATGTAACTTGTCTTATGTGCATTCACACTTCGATATACTCTAATGAAATGAAGGCAAAATTACTTTAAGTATTCAGTAACCAAGTTAAACAGTTTTTCATTACAACTGAAGACATACAGATTCTGGTTATATTTACATTGATAAGTGCACATCACTAAGCAAATGGTTAAAGAAAAAATTTCCTTTTAGTGTAGAGAATGTTTTATCCTGGGAGGAGGCAGTGTTCTTCCCTGACTACAACGAGATACAGCACTGATCTATACGTTGGCTCTCCTAACAGCCCTGCCTCCCCACCTGCATGGTGGAGTAGTGCATGAAAGGGAGGGGATGTGCTATCCATGCTCCATTCAGTTGAATTCAACTCAGCTATAAAGCCTCTGTTGGGATTCAAATCCCACCACCTCCCAGTCAGAGTCGCTGCACAGACGACAGTAATGCTGGTTCTGAGCTAGCTGAGCAGGTTTTGATGTGTGTGATGAAATTGTAGCCATCATTACTAGCAAATGAAATTGTTATTTATTTAGTTTTATAGTCAGATTATTTAGTCTTGTACTTTTGGTTATGTGCATTTGTTGCAATTAAATTTGGGTTTTTAATTAAAATTTTAATTTTGTTTTTTCATTTCATATTTAAAAACAATCGTTAAAGCTTTTACATAATGGGAAAATTTCAGTTAACACTGATGCATGAGTATTGAAGAAAATAATTTGACATTTACTATTTTAAAAAAAATTGATGCAAAGAACATTTCTCCATATTATTAAAAGTACTTTGCACTGCAGGAACAAATACCAAGTGCCTGAGTAAATGTCAGAGCTGTTCAATAATGTAGCACAATCCTCATTAGGTTATATAAATAAGTACAATACCCAAATTCAATGAACATACATTAAAACATATATAATAAAATTACAATTTTAAAAGAAAACGATTCAATAAAAGATAAATTAAATTTAGTATTATAGTATAAAAATGTACCAAAACGGTGTGAAAATAAATCATAATTTTTCTTGTGTTCTATAAATAGTTCTAATTTTGAAACGGTGCATTTAATTTAATTTCTTAATGAAAACAAGAATTAAGAGCATTACAATGTTGCAATACAATTTATTTACCCACCAGAGTTATTGATGATTATGTAAAAAGGTTATTTTAAAGGAAACAGCCCATACTATGAAAAAACAAGGAAATGTAAATTAAATTAACAAACAACCAGTGTGTAGGAAAGAGAACCTGTTCAATGTATTTCACAGTTAACCTCTTCAGTCCAATATTTGAGCTTTTCACTCACTTATGTTACTTTTCTACTCATCTGAAAAGTGATGGGAGTACCTATTACCAGAAGATTTTATGTACTTGTAAACATTGCACATTCATATATTCAATAAAATCATCTTTCTCCTGTTCATGATTTAGGCCATGACACCTGTTCCACCACCCATTTTTCTTCTCAGTCTACCAATGTAATTCATAGCTATGAATGAAAGTCTGTTAATTGTCTTCCTTCATACACGATTGTACCTTGTTTTCTAGCATGTTTTAATTCAATTCTTTGACTTTTAAAAATTCTCTCGTTTTGGAATTACATTTCTTCTCAATTAGCAAGCATCCTAGCCTTCCTTTGCACAAATTTCATTTCTGCCGTTTGTATTTTAATTCCAATCTTCATGTTCACCCATGATTTGCTGCATCCTGAGTATGAGGAATGCTTAAGTGGTGTTTCCTTTTGGATACAGTTTTTCAATTACATATGTACTGTTCCACAAACATTTCAGAATTTCACTAGTTTCTCTTCCATATCATGATCTATATTAAAAAGAGATATCACAGCCTAAGTTCTTAGTTACTAACTTGCTGTAGAATGTAGTTTCAATTCAATGAAATAACAATAAATAATGAAAAATAAAATTGATTCTAATGCTCTAAGTAACTTTCAACACACACTGTGATTCATCAAAAATTGGTGTTTGAACATTGAACGAAGATGCCCATTACTTCAGCATATAAAAAGAATTTCTATGATTCAAAGCACTAAAATACAATAAGAATCTTCAAACAAAATAAACTTAATTGTGGAATTTTAAAGACAATCCAGTCTCCAATATGGAATTATTAATAATTTTAGGCATTAATTATTACTTTTTAAATTTTAAAACACAATACACATACATGCTGCTTATTATAAACAATTTATTCATGTCAAATTTTATACAAAGTATTACTGAAGTAACTCTCCACATAAAGATTTTAAATAATAATAATGATAATTCTGTGACCTTCAAATTGCTCTAAACTGTTAATTCAAAACAAAACTGTTTTACTCATAGTCAGGACTCCCATTTTTTAATACAAACTTGACATGAAATGTAGGCTGCACTACCATTAAATGAAAAGGTTTTTTTTTTGTATAAAACTGCAACAATTCACTTGGAATTTTGTGATGTTGAAAATGAACCATGTTGACATACTTCCAAATGATTGATTTATTGCAAAGTTGTAATAAAAATAAAGAAAATGGCGATAAATTGAGCTCATATACCTGAGGTAGCCAACTTCCGTGTGAAGAAAAACATGCGTGTGGTGAATTCATTGTTGTCTTCATAACCTGCACAAATGTAATTATTACCCGTTTGCATCATCTCACAAACAAAGAATACTTGAACAATTAATCTATCTTACCAAATCAAAGGACTTCTGTTCTTTACCACTCAATACACTTTATTCACACAAGTAATAAAAATTAGTTCAACTTTTATTACATCATTGCTCTCATTCCATGCTATGATTTTAAAATTCACATAAAACCTCTTTAACACAATAACATACATTTGGTGAAGAAAAATGACAATAACAGAAAAAGTTGGTTACCACTGGCATATACAGTGTAAAATTTTATACTGATATTTTCTTAATAAACTTTGATGAGTTGCATAATCAAAGGTTTCAGTTCAACTGAAACTACAACTAGAAAGCAATGACTGGAATAATTATAGCATTACAAAGATATTTCTCAAGAGTAATGCAGCAGTCAATTATTATCACCATTCAGTGACAATTCAGTAGTCTGTTGAAGAATGAAGGCTGCAATGAAGAGCCAAAGCTCATAAGCACTGTAGAGCTAATATTTTGCTTACCTGAACAGAGTATAGCATTATCAATAAATAATTTTTTCAAGTGTTAAACTTTATTAGCACTCATATTCAAATCCTCAATCAATGACCTCGTTTTCACACTATACAAGAAAATTCTCAAAACATGCAATGCCGCAGCAAGTGAAGACATTTTCAAGTCAATGTAGTTCAATGTATTTCTTAACTGAAAATTTCCTCCTCACAACTTAACGTACAAGAAACTGATAAAATTTGAACAGTTATATGTTACTTTCACTCTCTCTCTCAAACATACACACAAAGGAAGGCAAAATTAAGCTTCACTACACTTCAATATCTTTTCACTGGATATATTTGTATATAACTTTTCTTCTTGATCACAACACATGTACATATCCTCAAAGCATGGACTGTATTCCACTGCCAACAGTTATTAAATATTTTATGACACATATCCATTCAGTCTCTCACTAATTTGAGTATGCACTGTCATAAGACAAAGCATTTAAATATATCTTCGATTCAGTAATTTATGCCACATAGTTGTATTGATTAGGATTGTCTTTATCCCGTTCCATGTAATCTCGATCGATTAAAGATTCAATTCGCTTCTTCAAGTCAGCAGGCTGGAAAAAAAAAAAAAACATAGCACAGAAATTACTACAAAGTAGAAAGGAAGTTAAGTAAAACACAAAAACATTTCAAAATATGTCCGGTCAAGTTCTAATTTTAAATGTAAGAAATAATGCAAGCAACTTACAAAGGAAAATAAGAAAATTAACCAATGTTTTTACTAATATATATATATATATATATATATATATATATATATATATATATAAACACACACACATACTGCCAGCATCTTATATATATATAATAAAATGTTTTATCTTTGCTGCTGGGTAGACTTTGCAGGATTCTTAAACATTTGTTATATAAGTCATTTCTATTCATTATCATTTACAGTGATTTTAGTGAACATTTAAGCAAATTTGAAAATGTTCATTTAAAATTATTCATACTTTTCATGCCATATTAAAGAACTATAAACATAACTGCACCTTAATGTATTTACAATGAATAATGACTGAGAAATCAGGAAAACATATCAGTAAAAATAATTGTTATAATTTATATTTTGAGTATTCAAAGAACTGACTGAACTGACTCAAGATCTCCCGGTGTAGTCTCCTGCATGTAGTGAATGGATTACTGAGATATAGTAAAAATTGCTTATATCATGTACGTTTGGGTACTGTTTTGTTAAGTATTTTTCTATTGAATACATAAGTTTCTGATCTTATATAATTTTGTGTTAAGAACGTAGAGATATTTATATTCAATACTATGAATGACTCTTGTTTTTGTTCTCATATTTGCGTTGTGTGCAAATCTGTGTGCACATGTGTGTACTTGCAGTGAAGTTCCTGTATTAGCTCTTGCATTAAAGTTCCTGCTTGTAATATTTACATGATGGGTTTGTATGTTTCAAATAAAAGGACTTGTCCCATGACATTTGTAATGATCATTTGCACAAATAAATAAAATATATATGAGATAGCCAAGTCTCTCAACTGTCTTAAAGAGATGAGAGCCCTTTTTTTGTCAATTTACTATATATTTCACCACCTGGTCCCAGTTGGAAGTTGAACAATTACATGGGAATAAGTTTAGCCATTGTTTACTATTGTTGCAAAACCTTAGCTAATAAGCATTAAGTAATTGTTACAACACAATGTTTTGACTATACAAAGAATTGACTGCCCCAGCAACAAGGACTGAGATTATACCGGGAGATTAGGGTTTGACTCCTGGCATGAGCAGTCAATTCTTTGAATAGTCAAAACCTAATTTAAAACAATTACATCATGCATACTGGGTTGCAAAGATGGTTGTTAACTGCAGAATGGGAAATGTATTCTCACCTAACTGTTGAACTTCCAACTGTAGCCATTTGATGAAACGAAAAAGAAAAAATATAATTGAGAAAGATATATTGTAATTAAAATAAGTGGTGTAAATAGAGAAGCGGTAGTAGTAAGTTTGAATTGTTGTTTCTCTGTTTACAGATAAGAGCAAAGTATTGTCAATAGTTTTTGTATAATGTAAATAATAGTTGACAAAAGTGAATAAAACTCCACTCTGTTTACAGGGAAACATTTTGGCTTAATTATTATCCCGCACAAATAATTGTCTTATATATATTATTCATTAACAGTATTATGCATTTGATTTTACAAGCTTCTGAGAGCAAGATTGCACAAATTTGAATATTGAATGCACACAACAAGTTTCATTTTTATTTCCCAGATAAGGTTCTCCCTTTCACTTTTTTAAAACTTTTGAGGGAATTAAAATTGAGACTGCATGCAAATGCAACTTTTCATACACAACACATTAGCGACTCCAAACTGCACATTCTGTAGCATGTTCATTTACATTCTACATTTGAACAAAAAATGGTTCTAAAATGTTCGAAAATAAAATTGTTATTCTTCAATTAAGCTATGAAAAATCTAGTAGCAATCCATGTGAAAAGTTTAAGTTAATCACAGAACTAAAGACACTCTAAACAAACAATGAGAAAAAAATCACAAAAGTTCATAAGAATTTTTAAATTAAACAGAAAATATTTCTAAGTTTTACTGCAAAGACAAACATATGAACGCCTTTAAACAAAACCTCAAATGAGTATCAAATATATTAAAAGATTTTAAAGGAACGCCAGAAGACCATCTCTCTCCCATGGTAATTTGACATTTCGATTTTCCTTCTCTCAAAAATTGTAAGGAAGAAAATAGAAACATTAAAATTTTGTCCATGTTTCAACAAGACAATGATATGTAACATTTAGTTTATGGAGAGAAAAAATTCTATACATAATATTATACTTTTATATTTTGAAATAACTTATGTAGGTGAAGATTTAACTATTCCTCTCTTTAATTCTTCACCTACATAAGTTAATTCAAAATAAAAAAGTGCAAAAAGAAACATATGTGCACTTTTGAGAATTGTAAAGCTTTCATACAACTCTCAGCAGGTTTAAAGAAAATGAAAATATCAATGAAACCCAACTTGTGGAAAACTTGAGCTGAAGTTTCTAAAACATTTCAACATCATAACTTGAATTATCAGAGTCTTCATGATTATTTAATGTATATGTTTAATAATGTAACAATATATAATTATTTAAAATAATTCATAAGAATAATCAATAAGGTATTTACCAAAGTTTGTGGGAGGGAATGATTCATTCAAAGCACCCTAAGATGCCCATGACTCCACTTTAGAAACAAATTTGAACACTTAGAAGATACAAATGTGCTATTTATGCTATTTCCAAATTAAAGAGGACATTTGAAATATTGAGATGCAATCACAATAATAGGATATACAATTGAAGGATTTTTTTCGACATTACTGAGACCCTTAAGTTCTATACAATAAATTGTCCCTGGAAGAATAGTGTCCTGAACTTCTCAAATTTGGATAAAAGGAGACTTGTGTTTACCTTCACAGGAAACTTCAACTGATTATATAGTTCACTGATCAAAAGATTATGACTCAATGTTTTTCTCATTTTCATTATGCGAACAATAGCAGCATCAATTTGATACTGACGATCTTGAAACACACGTTCTTCTGTGGCCTTTTGCTCTTCAGTCTAAGAGAAGAAAAGAACAATTAAGCATTGGAGGATGTTGAAGTTCAGAAGAATAAAAACTGAATAACTCAATAATAAATCACAAAGAAGTAAACTTACAGTTTCCTTGAGCTGTATCTGATTAATTTTTATTCTAAATAATTTGTTAGCAAAATCTTTATTGAATTGAAACCTATCATTATCTTCAACATCTCGCCCACGAGGAGTTTTCTGAAGAACACGAGCTTTACCACAAGCTAAAGATTGTAAAGTCCGGCGCAGTTCACCATCCTAAAAATTACATTTTGTCACAAATAGATATCTTTTTCTCAAGTATCACATAACTTTAAATAATAATTGTTACCTCAATGCCTGTAGCTATTTTTATGTCTTCTAATGACAGATCACTTGCATCATTAAAAAGAAGTAAAACTAAGGCTTGAAATAATGACACCATCAATTCTTTGTTACCCTGAAAAATTCAAATTTGGTTAAAATTTTCACTCATTGGAACATTTCACATGTGTTTGAAATGTGAGAACATGCAAATTGGTGTTACAAGAACACACCTGAGGAAATGTAGCTTTCAAAACACAGTGACCAAGAGTAGGTTGCCACTGTAATTTACGCCCACTGTGTTTTCCAAGGTAAAATTTTTTGAAGATATTTTGATACTGAACCATTTCTAGAGGCAAATTCACTTCACAAGCCGGGTAAGTTGGCCAATATCCCATAGTAAGAACATTAACTGTCAGATCAATGTTTGCTAAATGTAAAGATGGGTATCGCAAATTTCCCATATGCTGTAAAATAATTACATACAAATGTATGAAGTATATCATAAAACTGAAGGAAGAAAAAGAGAAACCATTCAATTAATCAATCACACAATAATCAAATTATATGAACCTGCTTAAATGCCACATTGATGTCTTTACTCAATTCCATATCTTTGAACATTCCTTCCAACTTCGAAGTAAAACCACCACCACACTCTTGCTTAAGTTTTGATAGCATGCTTTTCTCAGCATCAACACTAGCTGACTTGCCAACTAAAAGACGTTTTGCTAAATCCTACACAGAAAAATTCAAGTAAGAACAAATATAAATAGATCAAAGAAAAGCAAGGCAAATAAAAACTGTATAAAAATACCTTTTTGTAAAAAGCTTCAAATACATCTTTGCCATGAATGAATCGAAATAGAACCATTATTTTATCTAACAGTCTTTCTAGCTCTTCTTCAGTAGACTCCTTGTTTCCAGCTCTCAGTTTTGAATCCACAAATTTTGCTATTAGAAATACATCCAAGTCAGTTATGGCACACTGAAGTTCAAAAGCATTAATTTAACAATGCAACAATAATATTACCTATAAGTTCTGCCGGTTTATTTGCTCGCTGATTAACAAAATTCTCAAATGCTTCTTTTAGACTATTTGCAAATTTTTCATTTTTTTGGAAGCACTGACATACAATATTATCCATTTTATCTTTGAAATCTAATAATTCCTGGACCATTGTTTTATCTTTTTCAGGATCTATGACTATAGTGCGGCCTTTTTTCTATAACATTAAGAACAATTAAAATGCTCCGTTTGTCTCGTACAGCAATAGCAGACAAGCTAGATAGAACAGTGATTACCTTGATATAAGTATTAAAACTAGAACACAATTCTGACAATCCATTTTTAACCCTGGTAAAAAGGCTGTACAATAAAGTCAAATCACTGACACGATTCTCTTCTAAAAGGCCATCTAATCCTTTCTGTAAAATACTGGTAAGATGTTCTGATAAAAGCTGTTTTTCAACAGTATGTATAAGTTGCCACCTAAAATAATTCATTAATTACATCATTATATTAATCAAAATAATTCATTATATTAATAAAGCTAAAGTTTCTTAAAATTGTTCTGTTTCTATGAATTGTTCAGTACGAATGTGCGACTTACTTTGTTGATGGGTCAAGGTAATGAATTAATCTCTCAGATTCTTCATTTAATCTTTTATCAACATGAGCTAAATATTCCGGAACATCATGTTCTTGCATTAGTCTTTGTCCTTCTGCAGCATAGAGTCTTTCAGTAGCTTCTAGAAACCTAGAAATATCTCAACATAATAAAATGATTCTAAGACATTCAGCAGAAAAAAAAAATTCTGCAATTTACTAACTTTCTCTCAAATGCATCCTGGTAGATCTGCAAATCTGACAACATTCTCAGAAGAGATTTCAATAGTGATTTATCGACTGTATCACCTTGCCTTTCTTTTTCTATTAACATAAGAAGTCCTTCCACCGTTCGTGTCTGAACCAAGGTGTTCAACACAATATGCTGCCGAAACAGATCTAAACCCATATCCCTAGAAAACAAAATATTGATCACAAATGTTTTATTTCTCGAATACATTATCATTCCAAATTTGGTATTAATTATTTCTTACCATATTGAGTGAATAGTCGGATTCTGTAGTACATATGTACGATCCAGAAAAAGGAAAATTCCTCTAACCATAATCATTTGTTGACAGTGAGATAACCAACATTCATTCATTTTTTTAAGGAAAATATGTCTATCCATTGACTCTGCTATAAACTGCATAATATTTGCTCTAACATGCTTCTCTGTCAAATCTTAAGAACAATTCAAAGGCCATGGAATAATAAAAATTAAACTATCATTCACATTCATATTAAATACTGCAAATGTCAATAACAGTCCAACACTTACTTGTAAGATTAGCATAGAGAGTAGGAGCCATTTTATGACTACACATATTTTGGACAGCTTGATACAGTTCTTCACGACCGTATCGGATAGATGTCGATGTTTGAATAGCTATAACTGCCTCTTTAAGTTTTTCCCAAGTTTCTTCTTGATAATTCTCAGGAAGCTTTGGTTTTTCTAAAGTATATAAGTATTAATAATAGCAATAACCACTTCCAAAAATTAGAGTTTGAGATCATGAGCTCATCAATGACATTTTCCTTTACAATACATGTAGCTAAACATTTTGTTCACAAAGAGTTAGAACAATTAATAATTCTATGCAAAAGACAAATAGAGTTATGTGAGAAGTGTAATTTAAACGTACAGAATAATACTTCTGTCATAATATTAATATCAACATACCTTTGAAATTTTTTATTACTAACTTCTTTGCTGCCCCTGGTTTTGCATTAATAGCTGGACTCTTGTTAACACCATTAGGATTACTCAAAGCCGAGAAGTTTGCCCTTTTCTGATTATTTGTAGTTGTGTCTGTCATACTCTTCTCGTCTATTTTCACTCTTTTGCTGATATTTTCACTATTCGACGAGTTCCTTTTTCTTCTACTATTCACACGGTCCTCGCCTTGCTGGGCTTCATGGACTTGAATTTTAGTAAAACTTGACATAGAAATGCATGACACGGCCGTAGCCACAATCTAACAAAGTTTAAAATTTAAATAATTGTTTAAACGAGATGATTAATTCAACTTCACCATTTGCCATTCATTCGCAGCAATAGTCCGTCACTGGGATTCTATAAGCTCCACGAATCTCGTGATTTGCGACAAATAACGAGATCATTGACGATGGTGTGTCTAGCGCAGTCTATAGCGTTTTTCGCATGTCTTTGACAGGTCATCTGAGTCCACATTAGTACCGGACTACTCACTAGTAGCGCTGCTATACTGATACCTTAGCGACATGTATAAATATTGTTTGGATATGAGCAGTGAGCGAATGTATTGTATTTATGTAAAATTAAATAACAGCAAGTAGTCATATTGGGCAAATATGAAGTGAGAGTTCTGTCATCGCAGTGCAATTTTAATGCCCAACTCGCCATCACGTTTGTTCCACGTGTACTTTAGTGGATTGCAGTTATAATTAGCTGTAGGTTAGGATTTTATACAGGAACATGTCGAGTGACAAGGAACAGGAATTGATTGTTGAATTTTCATTTTTGAAATATTTCTTTATTATACTAACGTAATTAATTTCATTTTTAATTCAAAATGTATCAACAAATTAAGCTTTCTACTAGAATGAAAATAATTTTTGAAAGTAGAATATTTTACTGATATAAATTGTTAAATTTTAATTATTTGGCTGTTACAAATTCATTAATAAAAAAAACATTATACATCATAAAATAATTACAAAAGGCCTTGTCTTTTAAGATCTTCGTACGTCTTCCTATTTACAACATTTCCCAAAGAGTCTTCATACTCTTCTTCCTGTTCTGGCTGCCATCTTTCACCTTGTTTTTGAGATTTCAGTTTCTCCCACACTAAAAGCACAACATAAATAAACCATTAACACACACATTCCTTTTTATCCAGCACTACAGTCAGATTTGGGACTTGGCCTCCCAACAGATTAACAACAGATAAACATTAATCTTGATCTTGGGCAGTTGTCTCGAAGGTTGTATATTCGTGTCATAATGAAACAATAAACAAACATTAAAATAATTAAGGACAAGGACATTCACAAGAATATGTAAAATGTGTTACTGTGCAGACCCAATATTTTTTTGTAATCAATCACAGGATTACAATAATTAAATGTCACAAAATTTAAAAGTAATTAATATTATATATTTTGGTAGCATTAAGAGTAAAGCTCCATTTTCTGTCGTAAGTTAAGGAACATCTCTACATTACTCTCAGAATCACTACGAAGCTGAAGAATCTTTGTATGGATCAGAGCAAGTTGAAGTTGCAAAACAAATGCTGGCGAGAGCAATTTGAATAAGAATTTGCAAGAATTGACGTTTCCTAATTAATTTCTTGAACATTGAACATGTTTAGCCATGATGGCAACCATATAATTTTTTATCATACCCCAGAATAATGTAAGTTCTGCACCAACTTGCTGAATCCATAAACATAACTTGTCCTAAGGATATATGTTCCTCTTATTGATTTCATGGACAAATACAATTTGTAATAAACATTTATTTGAAATATTAAGACATATTATAGTAGGAAAAACACAAATATTAAATACACCATAGACAGAAAAAGGATTTCATATCAAGTGTTGATGTAAAGTAACATGCCATAATTTCCTTGAAAATGATACACTTCATACAATAATTACTAAAATACAAGGTCTAAATGCACATTTGGTTTTTGTACTTACATGCAAGTGCATCCTCAATTTGAGTTACATTAGCAAAATGGGCTGTGTTTGGAATGCCAAGACATCTCATTCCATGAGCATGGCGCCATTCCTACACAAATTACGATTTTATTGATATTTAGAAGACATGCTTCTAACAATATCTTAAATTTCTGTTCAATAATAAATACTTACAGCAAAATGTCTCTGGAATGCCTTTGGACCTTTGTATGTGAAATTACCACAAATTTCACAATTATAACTTATATTAAGTCCATGAAGTTTATACAACCAGTAAGGAATAGGCTAGAGAAAAAGAAACAAATTCTTGATAATTTCAATTTCACAATTTACTTTCAATATAAAATAATGTATGAATAAATACACAGACATCAGTGTTAATGTATAATAAATTATCCAACTTCTTCCACTGTCTTACTTTTTTATGTATAATAACAAATAGCCCACAGCTAATTACATAAAACAACAATTGGCATATGATGTCTTAATGTGAATAGACTTGCTTTTGATGCCATTGATTTTCTTAAATAAAAAGGTTTTTGTTAATCCAATTCCAAAGCTATTTCATCTATCTTAATTAACATCTCTCTTCTGCCTCTTCTCTAAACCTCTGTCTTCCAATTGCCATACCATTTGTTTTCACGACATTCAAACTCTTGGTAGCCAATTTGCTTAATATCTCTTTCTTCTCGATGTTTTGTTTTGGTAAAATCCATTAGAAAATATTACCTTCCCATCCCAACCCAATGGCAGATTCTTGGGATTATATGGTACATCAGTATCATCTTCTTCCTCAGATTCACTGGCACTTGCCTCCGCATCTGAGTCATCTCTCTCCCCTTCTGTACGTGCCTGCTTTCTCTGAACGTTTTCTTTTGTAGCATTCCGCTGCTCTGACACCAATTCAGTAAACCTAGAAGAGCACAAGTGTTTGACAAAATTGTTCAAAATATATCAATTTTACTGTATCATGACCCTAATACAATAACATCTAACACATTTGCAGCCTACCTGTACACCTGCGCTTCCAACAGCGCAACGTCTTTCTGACGTTCACTTTCCTTTCCTCTGCTGGCTTTGCCCGGCTTGCTTTTGGCAAACAAAGACGGATCAAGGGACTTCTTCCCTTTCGTGCTAAATAATCTTTGAGCCCTTTCCTCAAGAGTCCTACAAAGAAGCACTGCACTGTATTCTTTCAATTAAACACTTTTTAAAAAGTTATCTTCTGTATTTACCTGAATATAAATCAACTGGACATAAGATAACATAACTTTGAAGAGGTCTCCTGGGAATTTTTAAATAACACTTACTATTTAGTGAAGATAAAATTGAAAATAGTCTTGTCAATGAGAACATTAAAACTTTCTGCCTGAGCCATCACTATTTTCTTGTTCCTTAAATTCATCACGATAATGATAATTGTGACTTCTCCTTTACCTTCATTGATTTGTTTTTTAAATGCCGGCCTGCACAATATCTGACTCTGGTGGCATTCTGCACTCAAGAGCCAGGCTTATGCTCGTGCAAGTGGTGAAAGTGCAGGGGGTGCGGGGAGGGGAGCATCCTGCCATTGCGCAGTCGGGATGATGCAGTGGGTGTCTCATGTTTCCAATATAGACAATTCCAAGAAGGATAATGTTTGGTAGCACATGCATTTTTGACCATTCCCCCTCCCTCTTATGAACTTGAATAAGATAAACCAACATGTAAACCTTTCCGACAATATGTTGAGGGCAACCATGATATTATAATGGGTCTTCTTAAGGAGAATGCAAGGGCTTAATATTTTGTAACGTGTCAGAAATGATTGTGAATAAATAGTGTTCATAAATTTTATATTATAAATATATAATGTACTCTTGTTTGAAATGGTAGTAGAAAGTAATCACAAATTTTTAAGACTAAGACTATTAGCTTTGATAGATTTATCTTATTCAATTAAAAATAGTTTGTAACTATCACTAACAAAAAGGATTCAATATTACAATTTTATGTTTAGCATCACACTAAATTTGTGATTACCTAATAGCAAAATGAATTACATTGTCAGTCCATCAAGCAATTACAATACTTGGCGTCCAAATCAATTATGTATGTTTAATTTGTTTTAGGATCGTATTCCACATTGCAATCTATTGACAACAAACATTCCCAATGTAATACAAAGTGCAATATTACTTGAACTCTATGTAACAATTCGTCATGTTGAAGTCAATTGCTTTTTCTGTTTGTGTGCTACAGTCCAAATTATGCATTCTCATTCATGGATCCACTCCACGAATGAATCTCATCCTGATCATTTTGAACTGCCCTCGTTTGCACTCGAGTGGCTCCCGAGATAAGTGAAAGAGCAAAATACTACGCAGGCATGCCATACTGTGTTTTCCATTGACTTTTTAAGCCCCTCAAAGTTTTGCATGATGAAATTGTTTACTTAGTCTTTTATCTGACACCACCTCAGAACATTCCCTATTGCCACCCCCATTTTCTTCCTGTATCAAACTTTTTCATGGCCTCTTGATGCCTTGATTGTTCAACAGTACTTTCATATTTTTTAAGAGAATATATTTGAAAATCATTTAATTCATGCGACTGAGTTGTGAACTGTGTACTTCGGTATTCCTCCACTTCATGGGTAATACGGGAGATAACAGCAAGTTTCCAAGTTTAGGAAGGTTTTGCCTAGAACATATTTTATCATCCTTTTCTGTGGTTGAATATGAAATGCATACTTCTATCAATGTGGTTTTTTCATTTCCATTCCTTGCAAAACAACATGTGCACTTCCCAGGCATTGAACATTGATCTCGTAACAGCTTTATCGATCACCTAACAAATCTTAGCAATGATCTTTATTAATTTTCACTTTACGTATCACTTGATACAAGGCCATTCCATTTCAGATTATCTCTTTACCAGTCCATTCTAAAACATTGAGCTGAATCACATGGCAAATTTACAGTGGATGCCAAAAATATGTTAGCAAATATAATTGAGTATATATTTTTACTCTCTTTACAACTCATTGTTACTTGAGCATTTACGAGTTTCGTATCATGGAATGGTAATGTAAAAGCATAAATCTTAACTGATTGGACAATCTGCAAATGCAAGACAATCCTACATTTTTTTAAATAAAATATTTAGACAAAAAATCTCATCTTATATTCAGGTAAATACAATATTTTGATAATTATGTATCATAATATTTCTTTGCAATGAATTGCAATTAGTAACCTTGTATGTTGAATGTAATAACTGCTAATGACATTAGAAGTGAATGCGATTCTAAATCTATTAAAACACTCAAATAGAGTCAATTTGAAATACTTGTCTTCCAACCTACAAAATCCACTCAAAGGCTTTATGCAAATTTTGGGTTAAAGTTTAGTACACGGTACGCCTTTGGAGAAGCGTGGCGGCGGGGCTTACGCCCTAATTACTGTACATGGTCTAATAGAAATTAATAAAACTTACGGATAGGCGATTTTCATGGTTCGCACTTCATATGCTTTGTCCCCGCAGCATTGTAATGCCAATTTACTTTCAAAAGAAAAGTTTTCTCGCTTTGCTCGCTCAGATCCCAGTCATGGCGAGGCTCGGGCCTTCGGCCCTCGCATTTACTACAAACATTGAGTCTATCCAAAGCAGAATCATAAATTCACTTTTATAAAACATCACTTTTAAAGAAAGCCTCCAGAATTCTAACTGCCTAGTTAACGCTGGAACGGCACAAAGTGCCGATTTCAACGACTTCCTTAGGTTATACCGTTTACTATATTTCAGCCAAATTTTGAATTACTGTGAAGAATCAGACATTTTCTAGAATGGTTTATTATTGCACATATTTAGAGTTAAAATGTATTCTATTCACTTACTTTACATTACATATTTACAAACCACAATTCTTTGAGCTTACCCTCCGCATTTCAAACCCAGAGCCATTAAAGCAGACTTCAAACGATCCAGACCAAGAGAAGCAAGTTCTTCCCATGATGAGAATGCAGAGAGGTCCAAATGTGCACCAACATTTGTCAATGCACTGCCAGTTTCTTTCTGTAAATTAGTAATTTCAAGAATTTCCATTGAAGGCTCACAAAAATCTCACATTATAATTCAAATACAGAGATGCTATACTGTCACTTCTTTATGGTTCAGACACATATCTCATAAAATCTTTAAAAGAATAGAAGCAACAGAAATTCATCTCTTTAAGGTTGTAAGACATGTTTCACGGTAATGAACATATTCACACTTTTTGATGAAAAAGTTATGTTTTTTAAGGTAAGGTTTTAAGGTAAATTCTATCATTCTTTTAATTAATTTAAAAATTCAAAAACTAATTATTATAAACAAATACTAACTGGCCAACCTGGAAATGTACCAGCTTCCCACTGCGTACCGAACTGCCTCTGAACTCCCTCCATTTCCGCACTGATGTCTAAAAGAGGTTTAATTCTCTGTACATACTCGTGTAGATAATCCAATAATGCTTCCAAATACTTTCTATATTCAGAGTTCTTACGTTCTTTAGGTATGTCAAACAAATGATCAAAAGTTGTTAAATATGTGATATAATCCACTTTCTGGTAAAAAAGAGAATAAATTAAAATATACATAAAAATTAATATTCAGGTTTAGTTTCAAAACATCAAGCCAGGATGTTCTCAATAGACAGTTAGAAAGAAAGAAAACATACTTCAATCCCTTTAAGATTTACATATTTCTCATAGCATTCATGTAGATCCAAGTATTTGCCATATCCTTCTTCATCAGTGAATTCCACCATGTTAGCTTGTTCATCGGTTGGATTTTCCCGTAACTTTGCTAGCTCTTCAAATTCTACTGACATGGGAATACTGATCTCATTAGGCAAGCGGCGATAAAAGTCTTTAATTGCTTTTAAGCGTGTATAAAACTCAGCAAACTCATTGGGCCCAGACAAAGCCGCTACTTCTTCTTTCCTTAGACCATCTTTGTCTTCATATAATTCTTTTAGGTTATTGGTACTATCCATATAATGCTATAAAGTAATCATAAATTCTAATATACAATTCAGGTAAAAATCTCTAAAGTAAAATGAAAGATTTTCAGAAACTTACATCCAACAGCATTTTCAAACGATGGTCCGAGTTAATCATCTCCCTGTACTGTGGGTACATTTCAATTGTTATTAGAACAAATTCCCTCGATAAAAGGTTTGCAATACAATCTACTTGATTACTCACCATTGTCTTTTTATGAAGCATTTCCTTCACCATGCCATCCATTAAACGTTCTCTTTCTTCGTGATATCGTCGCTGCTGTTCTAAAATAGTTTCCATTTTCAGTCACTTAGCAAAATACAATACTCATTCGACACAACAACTTGACAATTCACTACAGAGATTTTGGCTATGGCCGAATATCCTTCAAAGTTCAAACCAACTTCAATAACAAATCATTGAGATGCCCGGTGCCCAATAATCCAAAGAAAATATTTTATTTGATAAACCTTTATATACTCTCTTTGAATAACTGACTATCAAAGGCCGTAACTTGATTGGCAGAGTTGTAGAGTTTAACGTACACAAAAGTTTCGAACAAATCCATACAGCCACAGCATGTGAACAACCACGCCTCCTATTCCAATCAATTTTTAACTCAACCCCTGCTCAAACCACAAAGCTGTTTGACACAATCTGCGAGTCATGGTATAATACTCTTTGATCATGGTTGCCAATGGCTGCTCAGAGCGCCCAGGAGGAGAGGTGGGTACGAACGGGAGGAATCAAGATACTGAAGGCGAAAGGAACGGATCTTCTTGGTTCGGACCAAGGTGTACTCTCTGGTTCGGACGTAGGCGGCAGGACCGTCACTACTTTGCTTCTAACTACTTTGCCTTGAAACCGAACTGACCCACTGACACTGACAGTTGTAGTGCGAGTAACCTAAATGCCCACTGCTCTACAAATGGTAATAGTGATTCAAAAATATTTTTGTAGCAGTTCAATTTTTAATGTAGAACTCGTGCACATTTTAGTTAATATTAAGTAAGGCTTTATTTGAAGTTAGTAGTACATGTCACTAGCTCTTATTATCTTAATCTTAGATACAATTTTATTTTAATCTTGAGGTTCTTATTATTACTTTTAAACTAGTCCACAAAGGCTAATAAAGGTTCTAAACGGGATGAAACAGTAAGTGGTGCAGCCATGAGGAGAACTACCAAGAAGGCTGGTCTGTCATCAGAAGTAAGTGTCCCTTCAGGTTCAACGTTGAGACGCTCTCCTCGATTTAATGAAAAGGTTTTTATTTAAGTTTGTTGCATTTAATGAAGAATTTGAAGAAACAAGTTAGTTGAAATCTGATATATTGGATGTGCTATGTCCCTTTCAGGCAAGACCTTCTGCAGTCATTATAGCAGCAAAGAAGAATGCAAGACTGAGACAGACAAACAAAAAACAGTTAGATGTAGTTGTCAGGGACATTTACCAAACAGTAAGCATAGATTGTTAAAATATGATTTTCTTTCATTTCAATGCTGTTCCTTTCATGCTCGATATCAAAAATGTCTTTGTGTTTTCTATCTGTGCTTTGACATTAAATATGCAGCCTGTTCTTTCTCATTTAACTGTATCACTGAGACTTTTTCATTCTAACTAACCTGAATGGTGGCTCTGCCAAATATGGCAAACATTTCATGAATCTGTGCTTATATCATGAATTGTAGGTGTGAGTCATCCCTACTCAGTTCTCAAAAGCAAGGCTGAAGTATATTTTCCGTTTGCTTTTCAATCTGATTCCTTTTTCATTCTTACTTCAAAAGGTGTAAAATCCATGTTAATTTGTTATATTGTAAGAGTAGAAATGTTAAACTAAGTTCTGTGTATATTTATAAATAACATTAATGTATTGATGTGGCATGCAATGTCAGTAATATGTGTAATCTTCTGGCAAATGCATCATTTTTTGTACATTTGCTTTGAAGTTTTCTCAAATAAAACTAATAAAAGTGCACATTATTTTTATCTTATTATCAATATTATTTGCATGAAAAAATGTACTCAGTTTCTGTAAATCCAAAATATTCTTGAAAAATAGTGTTTGTTAGTTATTTGGTTTTCTGACCTTGATAATGCAGTGACCTCAACTCTGACCTTGTTGACTCCAGTAGTATTGATTACATGTGGGTTTTAGTGTATGACTTGAACATTTCTATGAATTCACAGCTCTATTCATATCTGACTCTTGTTCCTGCACTGCTGTGTAATTTACATTCCTAGTGCATTTGTCTAATTTTATTCACAGTTGTAGTGTTTGTGCTTTGCCTTTTATTCTCTTTTATAACAAGTAATCTCCGATTTTTTGTTTCTTGTATTAGTAGATTTGTGAAATGTAATAAGACTAATTTAAATAATATTTCAAAGATGTGTGCACCATTTGCATGCAATATTCTTGTATAAAGACTGGTGGAATCAAAAGTTAAGAGTTTATTGTTATTGTGGTTTGAATGCACAAAGGAAAATGTGACTTATGTGTTATTGATTTTCAGGCTCGAGAGGCAAAGGACATGATACGTAAGGAGACCGGAATTATTTATGATCCACACATGGTGAAACACCAATGTTTATGGGATCCTAATTATCCGGAATGCCCTGATAGGTTCTCAAAAGTACTGGAGCGGTATGTTTAGAATTTTTATTTAATTGTATTATGTTTTTAATTTTTCATTTCATATTTGTAAAATAAAGTTTTTGCTTCATTATTCTTCAACTTGTCTATGAAAAATCATCCTTAAATTTGTTCTCTTAATTGACATTTCTCTTTGTAAAGCATCTTAAGTATCCTTTTGTTCTTCCTCTAATTTGTATGTAGTATTCCTGGTGTTCAAAACGCCCTTCGTGATATTCCATTACAATAGTACTCTAGAAAATATGTCTACTTCTGTATTATTAACTTTTTATGATGTGTAACCTATTTGCATTCTGTTATTTTTCAGATGTGAAGCACTTGGACTTCTCTCTCGATGTACAAAAATTAATCCTCGAGAAGCAACAGAAGCGGAGATTCTCACAAAACACTCACCTCAGCTGCTAGAAATTTTGAAGGCCACAGAAGGTGTACATGATGAAGATTTTCTTGAGAAGCTTTCATCAAAATATGATTCAATCTATGTTCATCCTGTAAGGCTGACCACTTTTAATGTAATACAATGACTTGTCAAGATATTTAATTGTATCTTCCTTGTTATTGTAGGATACATACCAACAAAGTCTCATTGCAGTAGGTAGTGCAATAGAGCTTGTAAATGCTGTTTGTGGGAAAAAAATCCAAAATGGCATGGCTATTATTAGGTAAGTTTGGCTGTTACAATTGTTTAATGATCGGGTAAACAAGGGAGATGGTCGATTGTTGGCCTGCCCTGCATGTTTTTGAGACTGTAGACTTTCAATAACACTTTCCCTGGAACAAATAAAAGAAGTAATTAGAAGTGGAAAAGAAAAGAAAGAAAAGAGTTATTGAAGTTTGTAAAAAAAATGTCTTCTAGGTACAAATTCTTCTAGCAAGTTTTCCATGGCCCAATCAATTCCCAAGCAAATGCTGAAGTAGTTCTCCAACAAACAGCCCTTCAACTACACTCGATTTTCCCTTCTTCCTTGTCCTATCATCGCCTCATACATACACACTCTTACACTACCGGACTAACACCAAGGTGGAAGATACCTCGTCGGGACAATCCCGTGAGATGATTTGAAGTTCGGTGCTGGATTTTGCCATCCTGCGAGAGATCATCGCCACTTCCCTTGATAAAAACTGCGCTAAACTTACAAGACTAATGGCCTTGGAGTTAATTTGTCCAGAACCACCAATCAATCAATGGAATCTCTTCAAAAAACATATCTTGTATTGTTATCAAAATGACACATGTCCTGTAGTAACATAAACAGGTCTAATTTGGTTAGAAATAAATTTGACCTATAAAGTACCAAAGCATTTAATAAAAGAAATGTTTACTGATTCTGTTAAAAATTCAGCAGAGAGAGGTATTGTGAACCTGAAACGCAATACGTAAATTATAAAATATTATTGATTCATAATTGCTCCACTTCTCCATTCCATTCTAAGATACATCCACCACTCCATTTCCAAGAAATTTGCTTCGAATTTTCCCTAAAATAGGCATTTGATTATTTTTTGTATAAGTATTTAGATTATGTAGTTATTTGAAATGTATGTGAAATTTAAAAATACAGAAGAAAGATAATTCAAATGTTGGGTTGGGAGAAAAACAATAGATTGTATTCTTCATGTCTTCCGGGCTGATGGGCCGTGGTCCAATTGGCTCTGGGATGCCAAACGTTTCGCCCACGACTGCGGTGGGCATCTTCAGTGGCGAAGCCTACAATGCTGTATAATAGTTAGATGGACTTAAAACTGATAAAACTGCATATAAAGATAAAACTCCTGTTTCTCCTTTAAGTGGCTTTTTGAATTTCTGTTTTAGTATTTGTATTATTATCTGATATTTTTTTGACAAATCAACTTTTAACTTGAGATTTCTTTCCATAAGAAGCAGAATATAGTTTTATGCAAGTAAACTACCTGGCATAATTTTTCCTTCTTCAGAAATCATGTTTCTCACTGCCTCAAATTTGTTTGCTTAAAATCTTCTGACCCTCATTGTTTTCGAGACTGTTTCATTACAAGAAAATGTTTCTAAAAGTCTGCACAGTATCTGATAACTGCCAATTTCTTTTCTCTCATCATCTCCCTCTCCCTCCTTCAACCTCTGAATTACATATTATGTACTCTGTGTGATTTGGTCATTAGAAAAAAAGAAATGGCTAATGTATATTAGTAATAAAGTAATAGGAGATTACTTACAAATGTAAACACTGGATTTTCATTAGAACAGTACTTTGAAAGTACTCTCAGGAGACTTAAAGTAATCCATCCACTCCTCGCCAAAGTAGAGAAATCCCTACATTTATGTTTAATAACAAGTGTAATAAATATATCTTATATTCTCTTTGGAGGAAAAACAAAGAAAAACACAACAATAACAACAAAACAGCAGCAACAGCCACTGATATGTGGTAACTAACTTTTGAATATTGCCATTTTAAAGGCAAAATAACAACTGCTTGCTATTAAAGTTAGAGTTGCAAGTTGCTGTGTAAGTTACATTGCTTTTGAAAAGTATTCTTGGGATTTCCATAAAAATATTTAATTTCAATACAATTAATGACCAGTATGCTGTACAGAAATGTCATGCAGAACACTAACGGCAAGAAAATGAAATTATACTCCAAACTGTTCAGCTGAAAAACAGTTATTTCTCTGTTGTCTTTTAATATTTCAACCTGTTAATTGAATATGTTATGAAGCTACTGAACATCGAAGTATGTAACCTGCTATGGAATTAAAGGGACCATGCATGGTAGAGCATACTTGTAATTACTAATTTAGAAAGTTGCAGTTTTGTTAATTATTGTTTCAAAAATCTGATTATTGTTTTAACTTTGTTACTAAGGCCTCCTGGACACCATGCTATGAAGAATGAATTTTGTGGATACTGCTTTTTTAACAATGTTGCTTTGGCAGCCAATCATGCCTTGGAGCAAGGTGGCATATCCAGGATACTTATTGTAGACTGGGATGTACATCATGGGCAGGCTACCCAGCAAATGTTTTATGAAGACCCAAGGTATGCATAAATTTGAAAAGAAAGTTAGAGCAGAATTACTAAATTCTTATTGTGTGGAATTTTTTCAGTACATTGTTCAGTGGATTATAAGTTTGTCTTTTATCAGAGTTGTATACTTCTCCATTCATCGATATGAACACGGGACGTTTTGGCCTAATTTATGTGAATCTGACTATCATTATGTTGGAGAGGGCAGAGGCAAAGGGTACAACTTCAACATCCCTCTGAATCAAACTAAAATGTCTGATGCAGATTATCTGGCAGTCTTCCAACAAGTGCTTTTACCAATGGCTGTGGAAGTAAGTATGGCTCCTAAAAATTCAGCATGAAGTAATTAATAATCATTCAAATTATTGAAAATGCTGTTAGAATGAGAATCAAAAGAAATATTTTGTTATTCATTTTGTACATTGTAAATAAAACATTATTTTATAGTTCCAGCCAGAACTTGTGTTAATATCAGCTGGGTATGATGCTGCCATTGGATGTCCTGAGGTGTGCAATTTTTAAAAATTTTTGTAGACTTTCTTTATCCTTCTTGTTTGCTTGCTTTCTTTAGTTTGGCCCTGACCTGGTCATTGTGTCAGCGGGGTATGACTCTGCTCTTGGGGATGAAAAGGTAGCTAATTATTTCAATGATGATTATCATCATCATTATCATTATTATACTGTGGATTATATACACCAAATGAATGAAAAGCATTATAAGTTTACATATAGTAGGTATGAAAGACAGTGCCTTACTTAATTAGTTGAAAAAACATTTATTTTATATAATACTGAATGTAATTATGTAATAGGTTAGATATATCAGCAGATTTAAAATAAGCATGTTAATACATTAAATTAAAATCATTATATAAATTTGAAGGGTAGACATTTCCTGAATTATTGAACATTATTTAACAATTCTAAAAATGTGTAGAAGATTTTAGACCTTGTAAAATCAATGAAATGACATTCTGAAGATGAGCAATCTTATTGAAATCCTAAATATAATATGTAAATAAAAAAAAAATATGCCAATGCATATTCTCTTTCTCCTAAATAATCAAAAACAGTACCATTTACTCTACGACAGCAACCATATATTCCTTGTCTAATACGCTAGTACAAAGAAAAGGGAAAAAGGCATGAAAAAGGATAGTGGGTAGTCCTCATCAATGCTCTTTAGCTACCTAAAATTTATTGTGTTGTGTAATAGTTTGTATTCATAAAACTGAGTAAACAGCTCTTGTGTCAAATACTTCTTAGTAGTTTACATATCTTTGTTGGCTTACTTATTGAATTAGTGAAGAAATTCAATTCTTAAATAAAAGAAAGAAGATTGAAATATTTTAATGTTGCAATATAATGCCCTGCTTTTCTTTAAATTGAAGTTATTTATTGAATAAGTATCTCTAAAAGATTTATTTTCTTTTGTGAGTAATTATTACAACTTAATTATTGTAGGGTGAAATGGAAGTGACTCCCACATGTTATGCACATATGCTATCATCTCTCCTGCAACTTGCCAATGGAAAAGTTGTGGTGGTTCTTGAAGTATGTATATTGCTTCAGCAATGAATTAAATGAATTTAATTATGGAATTCTGGTACTAGAATTGTCTGCTCTAGGGTGGCTACTGTTTAAAGTCTCTTGCGGAAGGTGCTGCTTTGACTTTACGTTGTCTTCTAGGGGATCCCTGTCCATATCTTCCTAAGTTACCACCACCATGTGACAGGTAAAGTGAAGATGAATTTATTTGATTACTGTATGTAATACACAAGCTTCTTTCAATAAAAAATGTATTTAGTCTAAAAATAATGCAATTCAAATCATGTAAAAGTACTCAAAAATAGTTTTCCACCTCCTTGCTCCTTGATGCTTGCAAATCTGTTTTATTGTAACATTGACTATTTATTGTGCCAGTTTCACTGACACTACAGTGAGGTAATTTTTACTACCTTTCATATTGGATCTAATTCATCAGAGCAGTAATGTGGTATAAAGGAGAACAAGTCTTGATCAATTTCAAGTAGTGTAAATATGATTAGTTAATAATTAATCAGTTTGTATTTTGTAACAAGGGTACCATGGAAATATAATCTATTATAACTATATGGAATATCTATTTATTTTCAGTATTCAAGACACTATTTTGAATGTTATATATGCTCATCGAGAGTATTGGCAGTGCTTCCAGTTTCAAGACACATACAATTTGAAGTCTGAGCCTCAAGATCCTGTTTTATGTTCTGTAAAAAGTGATGGTACTGTAGATGCAGATGAAACCAAGGATGATGAAGAACTAGATACAGTAGCTAGGCATTTACCTGTAGTGAAATACCTAGGCTCTGAAGAAAGACCAGAATCATATTTGACTCGAGATTGTTATCCAATTCAAGACAAAGAGTTTCAAAAAGAACTTGATGCAAAATTGAACATCTTGATTACAAGTGAGATATATTTGAATTTTGTTCCTTCTGTAGCTATCTGATAATCCATGGATTTAATTGTGGGATACTTCAATACTACTAAAAACAAACAAATCATTTTCTTGGATCTTTATTATTTCCTTTTTTGGTAAGAGTAGAATGTTTTTTCTGGATATTATGCTTTTTGCAGATACGAAGCTGACTTTTGCCCCTAATAAAGTTTGTTTGGTGTATGATGAAAGAATGATGAAACACAAAAACGCCCCTGAACCGTGAGTTTTTTAACATACAGGAACTTTGAGTAACTCAGCAGTAGAACTTATGTAACTAATATATTTTTACAGATCACATCCAGAAAAACCAGAGAGAATATCTACCATTTATTTCCGACATGAAGAATATGGTTTATTAGAGCGGTGTCACAGGCTGAAAGTAAGTGTAACTTGTCCTTGATAGTGGTGGGCTGTTGCTACTCACAATATTTTTTTGAGAATCTTTCGAACAAATAATACTTATTATGAGGAGGAAAGGATAACATTTTTTAATAGAAAATTTCGTTGCTCCATTAATTAGACTTGAATAATAAAATTAATAATTATGAAATGAATAAGTTCAAATATTTGTAACTTCAGATGTGTGTATAGTTGCATTACATACAAGAACTAAAAGAAATTTAAATGGAAATACTGTAATATCAATATGTCAACACAGGCCAATACAATAATCAATAACTTCACAGGCCAGATCAGTTACTCAAGAGGAATTACTGTTGCTACATAGTAAGCAACATATAGACCAGATCGTAAGCACCAAAAACATGAAATTTCGTGATTTACATAAAATGCAAGAAAATTTTCGTTCTGTATACCTTCATCCAGACACTTACGATAGTGCGTGTTTGGCAGCTGGATCTCTCTTGCAGGTTTGTGATTGTTTTATTTAGTTTTTATTTTAATTGATTTTGTTGCATGTTTTCGATTTTTATTGAGATACTTCTTTCTAGTAGTTGAGATATTCTTTAAATTACCTTTACTTTTTTGTGTACATACATATATACAGAGTAATACTATGTAATATAGAGAAAGTTATGTAATGCTGCGGAAAATTGATTTCAGTATTTCAACAGAATATAAGTTTTGGAGTTTCCTGATACTTTTTTTTTCTTTTTAAAACATTCATCCATCCATCCGTCTGTCATCTGTATTTTATTTCCTGTCATTTTGGCAACTTTTACTTTCTTGTATACGTTTGTATATACAGAGTAATATATAGTATAGAGAATGTTATGTAATGCTGTGGAATATCGATTTCAATAGATATACCCATTTTGGGGTCCTCTGATATCAAAACTGCAATGTTGTTTCTCTTCCCTCTGCAAAACGTCTGACTATCTATGAGCACCACTAGCGACTAAACGATAAGTAGGATTTTATCGAAACTGAATACATCCCTGTCGATCTGACCTCACTCAAAGCTCTGTAATTTCTTGAAAGAATAGAGTGAAATCCACTTATAAAGGTGGCTAGGTCTGATTTTCATTGCTAACTCTAAATTTTCAACAATTGAAAAGTTTGAATATTTTCAGTGCTTTCCTACATCTACAAAATTAAAGGTAGAGATTCTTTCTTCTAATAAAAGTTTTAGTAGTTCTAATGCAATATTGTGTACAATACCTGCAATTTTCAAAATTACAAAAACAAGATTTTCTCAAAAACGGCTCCAATTTTTTTCTTTAAACTTGTGGTAGGGATAGTGCTAAAAGTACTCTGTAAGGTAACATAAACACAATTTTGTCCTATTCTTTTGATTTTTCAAAAATTGTACTAATATAATATTTTTGATCTCTCTCATGACATTTATATTTACATTGGCAACGATTTATTCACATTATTGCAATTATGAGTTCATATGCTTTAAAAGATATCATATAAGAGTTTCTCAAAAACTCACATCTTCAGGAAAATTAGCTTAAAATGTTGCATTTTCAGGAACAATCAAACACCGTTATATTAAAAAGGCTCCAAATGTTTTTCTTCAAATGTTTCATATGGTGGTAGTGCTAATTCCACTGTTTTAAATCACACAAACAGTGGAGTTAGGCGGAATTGCACAAATGTATTTTATTTTAATATCTCTTACGTCATTAATATTTACGTTTCTGACAATTTGTATACATTATTGCAGTGGAGAGAACTGTTACAAATGATTTCCGGTGAACACCAAATTTTCAACGCAAATTTCTATATAGGACAAATTTGTACCATTCTATAACATATTAAAAGTCATGTGTCAGTTCTACCATTAGGGAACCAAAAAATTGAGAAAATATGATAAAATGTACTTTGAGCAGCGATAGATGGTAGCTGGGAAGAGAATGGGGAAAAACTGAAAAGGTAGCCCAGACCAAAGAAATTAGAAAGCTAACTAGTACGAGAAAGTCCATACCATTGTACCTCTAGTTTTCGTTGCAAAACAATCTTTGTGTAATTATGTTGTCCTTTTTATATAAGCGCTCTGGACATTTTTAATAAATTCTTCCATTCCTTCTGCTTATGTCAATTTTAAGAAAGTATGTAATGTAAGCCTGTATCAAGAGTTTTTTAATAATAATAATAATAATAATGTTGTAGGTAGTTGACTCAGTGTTGAATGGAGAGAGTCAATCAGGTATTGCTATTGTAAGACCTCCTGGCCACCATGCTGAAGAAGATGAACCTTGTGGTTTTTGTGTCTTCAACACAGTTTCTATTGCTGCAAAATATGCTGTGGAAGTTCATCGCCTAAAAAGGTAAGGTTACAGCACCTGTTTTGAAGGTCGTGAATGTGAGATGATTATTATACAGTAAGTTCAACATTATCCAGAACTTCTCTTTGAGGATAGCGTGTAGGAAAATATAATAATTTTGACTTGTATACTTTTGATTTATTTCTTTAATGCAGTTTTGATCAACTGAAAAAGAAGCACATGAACTTTGAAAAATGCATTATAATCATTATAGTGAATGATTGCTGTTTTAGGGTGTTGCTTGTGGATTGGGATGTACATCATGGCAATGGTAGTCAGCATACATTTGAATCTGATCCACGGGTTCTTTACTTGTCCTTACATCGATATGACAACGGAAGCTTTTTTCCTGGCTCACCTGATGCCAATTACACTGTTGTGGGTTCTGGTGCAGGTGCAGGATTTAATGTCAATATTCCTTGGAACAAGGTAAACCATTGTCTTCAGTATCCTCCTAGATATTCTGTGTTTTCTGCGTTGTTTATTAATCTTGGAAATAATGAAACACTTCAGAAAAAATCAGTAACACTATGGGCAACACCATAATTAACTAGCCCTAGATAATGTCTTTGGAATGTTCATTTCTGAAAGTAAATATCTCAAATGATTGATATGTTATTGCAGCATGGGATGACAGATGCTGATTATATTGCTGCTTTTCATCGAATTGTTCTACCCATTTGCTATGAGTTTGCTCCTGAACTAGTCTTGATCTCAGCTGGCTTTGATGCTGCTGTTGGTGATCCATTGGGTGGTATGATTTTTTTTCTATCTCAAAACTTGCAATGCTTTTACCACACAGCTGTTTTATATTTGAATTATTTTCATAGAGGTTTCAAGTATAATTCATTATGTTGCAAAATAATTACATTACTTGTGGTTGGTATTTTTATGAAATGTGCATATTACACAGGCAATAAAAAGAATACAATGTACACATAAAATTTTCTTCTCCAATTCTTCATTGAAGTTTAACTATGCATTTAAAAATTCTTTTTGATGCTGCAACAAATGTATTTTTTGATAATAAAATATTAAAAAATTGATCTTTCTATTTTTAATTGCTGTGAATTCAAATGCTTTTATTTTACAGGATGTAAAGTGACTCCTGAAGCATATGGTCATTTGACACATTGGTTGTCTGCCTTAGCAAATGGTCGAGTCATTCTTTCACTGGAAGGTGGATACAATGTTACTTCAATATCATATGCTATGACTCTGTGCACCAAAGCTCTTCTTGGAGATCCACTGCCAATGTTACAGCCACGTCTAGCTCCATGTCCTAGTGCTGTAACTACCATAAAAAATGTAATACGGGTCCACAGCAAATACTGGTCAAGTCTCAAGTTTGACTTAGCCTTGCCAAAGGAGAATGTTCTTCCAGATGCAGAGCTTTCTCAGAAGACTGAGCCTTTTGGCAACACCAATGATATGGAGAGCTTCAAAATAAAGGGAGAAGGAAATGACTCAAGCTATGTTAATGCAAATGTGATAACAGAGATCTCAAACAATGTCCCTTTTCAGAGTCCCACAGAACTGAAAGGCTCGTATATGCTTCCTGCTTCACCCACAAATGAGGTGATGCCAAACTCAATGGCAAAACTCAACTTAGATGAGAGTTCTAGTCCTGTCAAGTCAGATGAAGTTTTACATTCCAGTCAGTGCTTAGTCAGTATGAAAGAGCAGACAAAGTCCTTAGAGAGTCCAATGGAATTATCTGAGGATTCCTCCAATTTTATGGTTAGCTCTGTAAGTTCACTTGAAGGGGAAAATCAAGTGTGGTCACAGATAAGTTCAACAAGTGCCAGTGAATCTTTAGAAATGATTACAGATAATGTAAGTAGTTTTGAGTTCACAACTAAAGCAGAAAATGAAGACAACCCTCTTGGGTCTTCATTAGTTTCTCTTCCTATACAAGAATGCAAAGCAAACATTCCAAAAGTTTCTGAAACAGACATCAACTTCCCAACACTATATTCCAATCCAAGAAACATTGATGCAAATTCAAATCTGCAAATCAGAACAAATACTTTCAAAACCTCCCCCAAACTGGTTGCAGAAGGTCAAGTAAACTTAACAAGCCAGGCTGATGAGTTAATAAGGAAAGCTGCTGACAGAGAAGAGAATAGACCAGGCAGCAGTCGCGAACCTGATGCTGGAGGAAGTAGTGTTGGTGGAAGTGGGGCCAGTGGTAGTCCTGGTCAGCCGCAGAATCTTGTAGATTATTTATCAGACAACTTGCAGGTGGGTGGTACAATTCTTCAGTCTTTGTTCATGATAATTCTCAGCTAGTACTAGTCATGTTGAACACTTTACTGTAGTGTGATTTCTTTTGTCCAGACATTATATAATATTGAATTGTGATCTTGGAAATTGATGGTGTGGCAAAGAACATCAGCATGTTCATATCTTTCCAGCTCTCTCATTTATTGAAAAAAAAAACCAACTGGATTAACCTGTGCATTGTTTCAAATATGAAATATTCGAGACAAATTGGAATAAATATATTACCTGGTTATGTTACTTTTGATCCTAATGTTCTCTCATTAGAAATGTTGCTCTAATATCTCTCCATTAGAGCAACATTCGAGAATTCTTACAATGTATCATTTCTGTCTACAATTTATTTAAACAGTCACACATTCATCACTTATATTATCCTGGCAAAAGAAAACTGTCAAGTTTCAGAAACATACATTACAAAAAAATAGATAGTGAATATTAACCCTCAAAAGGTTGTAGCCTCTAATGCAAATTCTCTGATTGATAGAAAAAAAATATTGTTGCAGTTGTTACTTACTGGACAGATGCATGCTGTGATTCCTTTGCCTTCCTGCCCTCATCTTGATGCTGTCAGGGAGGTCCCTGCTCGAGGATTAGATGTGCAGAGTCCTTGTATGGAGTGTGGCTCCGTCATTGAAAACTGGGTGTGCCTCGTGTGCTATACTGTACGTACATAAAATATTTATTGCAGATATGAGATTATAAAAATGTGGCAGTAAACAGAAATGTAGCATTCAGAGCTTTCTTCTCCAAACTTAATTTTTTTTATAACTTAGTCCTTCTTTAAAGTATTACATTCTGATTAATATATTCTTCTTCTTCTTGCATTAAATTAAAATAATAAACAAAATTATAAATCAGTATTTAAATAGTTGACTGAAAATTCTATCATGAAATTTCATGAAAGCGTCTTGATGGGTAGCAAGTGTCTGTTAAGTTTAAGTGCATAGTAATATTCTTTTGTTTATATTCTAATGATATAATGATCCTAAACAGTTTTCAATTATGAGAGGATTTTTTTCTTGCTTCCCTTTGACCATTTGTTTCCAATTTATGAAATTCCAGAAGTTGTTTGTTATCCAGTCTCCCTTCACATCAAATTTCAGGTTTTGATTTTCCTTTTCTGACTCCATCTTTGTTCTTGCAGTTCTGGTTGCTAATTTTTTGTATATGAATAAAGATTTTTGTGTACTACTTGCTTTTTTTTATTTTATTTCTATTAACACTGAAAATGTTTAATGAGTACTAATTGATACTATTGCAACATTTTAAATTTAATATTGCTCTCTTGTTGTAGATTACCTTTTGTGGATTAAATGCAACTATTTTGCCTACAGGTACATTGTGGACGGTACATCAATGGTCACATGATTGAACACGGAATAGAAACTACACATCCACTCACACTCAGCTTTTCTGATCTCTCAGTTTGGTGCTACGTATGTGAAGCCTATGTGGATAATGAGGTGATGTCTTATTTTAACTTATGACTTAAAAAACCATGTTCATGAATGGATTTTTTTTACTTTTGACTACAAAAAACAACCTCAGCTGAAAGTGCAACAGCTTTACCTTCCCATAAAAAAGTTTCATTGTCAATTTTTTGTTTCATAGGCTTTCTATCAAGCAAAGAATGCTGTTCATCGTAGTAAATTTGGAGAAGATATGCCATACGCTTATGGGGATTGAAGAAGTGAAGAAATAGTGATCACATAGAGCCAAAATGATCTCAGAGGTTCTGTGAAGGAAATCTCTTCATTCTATTTTACTTTCATTTCCCTTGTTTCTTGCTGTCACTATCTTGAAGATTTATTCTAGTATATTTTTTTAATGTTTTGTGCTATGATAACTAGTTCACAATACTGCCATTTGTTTTAAATTAACTGGAACAATGTCTAATGAGGTGAAAAGGAAAACATTACACACTAAGATGCAGTAACATACCAGTAACAAACTGTTGCAAACAGTTAAACTCTAATAGAAATACTGCGTAGCCTGAGTTTGTGTGTATAAAACATTCATAGATCAAAATTTTATCCCACTACGGAAGAAATATTTACCAATTTTCATGGTAACAGTAGAGATGCTCAATATCGGTGAATTTAACATGTTTAAACAAGTTATGTAACCTTAAGAGCATGAATTGTTTTATATTCTAGATGTAGATTTCTGATATATGTGACAGTTTGGGTGAGTTTTAATTGGAGATGAGGTTAATTAGTTACAGAATGCTATATTTTGTTTCTTTTTAGTGTGACTTGTTTAAAACCATGCTAATTAAACACCAAAACTTAAAATGTTATAACCAATGCAGCTTTAACAAGATTTTAGTTTTTTTATAACATTTTTTAAAAAAAATGTACTTAAAATTTGAAGTTTGTCTGCAGAAAATGTTGTGACTGTGACTTTTAAAGTCTTAAGAAAATGTTTTTTACAAGTTTTATAATTCAGTTCCTTGTTGAAATAATTCAAATTGGAAAGAAAAGAAAAAGCAATCCTCTACCAGTGTCTGAAAGTTATCCTATACCCCCTCCCCTTTGTATTCACTACCCACGTGAAATATACAATGTTAAAAACAGGATTATTCTCCTTACAATTTGTTCTGGTGATAGTGTACAATTCTGTGGCCTTATGAGTAACAACTCTTGAAGTTTGTGTACCACAATAGGCTTCACTGAGAATTTTTAATAATTATGTGCATATGGAGGATTATTTCTTCACAAATGCAGACTTTTTAAATGTTTATCGCTTCCAAAAGGAGTGAAGCTTTGTAAGGACATCTTGTGAAGCACTGAAGCCAAGCTGAGTATTAAGCAGTTTCCTTTAATACGAGTGAAATGAAATTTAAGTGAGGTAATATTGCATGTTCATGAAGATTACTCACATGGAATAAGAAAATTGTTTAATAGTCAGCTCACAGTAAATTGAATTCAATGGCTTTGGTACACTACCAAAGATATACCAAGTTTAAGAAAGTCAAGAAGTAATGTAAAGACGTAAGAAAGTCTTTACTCCCACCTCTGTACAGTCATTCATCTCTGTTGGTTACTGTTAAGATATTACCCCCTAGTGTTCACATTCACACCCTCTAATGATATTTATAAACCATTAAACCTGCAGCTTTCAGAATATAGATTTCTCATATATTTTTATATGTGATAAAAAAAATGTACAACTTATAAATAAAAGTTTAATAAAGCAATATATGTACATAATTTGACTTTATTTGAATATTCAGGGATACATATTTGGGCTTGAATTCAGCTATGATAAAAAAGAAATTAGACAAACTGCTAGGACTCACTAGTTATGTCTTTTATCATTTGTGAATACCATTCAATCCCCTCCAATACTATAGTTTGATTAAAATTATAAAAAATTGTATTTGTTTTAAACAACTGTCTTTGTTACATAGTACATTGATGAAAAATTCATGCTTTTAATATTGTGATCTTATTTCTAATGTGAAAATTTAAAAAATTGATAAATATTTGGTGTAATCATTAACAAAGTTTTTCTATAATCCATAATAATAATAATAATAATAATAATAATAATAAATTTAAAAAAAGTTCTTAAATTTAACTTGTAGGCTGTTAAGCTATTACACAGGTGTGTGGTCACCCCCACCCCATGTTTCCATGAAAACAGTGTTGCTTGAAGAGTTGAGTCTTATTATAGAAGTACCTTTCTGGGAAGATATATATGAAGCAAGATAAAATTTGCCTCAGCAATTTTTCTGAGAAAAGACATTGCTGCAGTGTTTTAGACCTTCCATAAGTAATATTTTCTGATACAATAATCTCCATTATTTAAAAGAACTTGATAATTTTTTTGGCACTTCTTTGGTGTGCAGAAAGTTTACATAAATTAAGAATTATAACAATTGTGATGTCCCCAGATCATGTAGAGATGGTTGAGGGCTCGTTTGAAAGCTCAGGGAGTGGTTACATTTTGCCACAGAAAAACTGCCTTGGAGGGCTTATTTACTTTGTGCACAGTCAAGAACTTACATTTTATCACAAGCACTAAGGCTTTTCAAAAAATGTTAAAATGTACTTTGTTAAAAATTATCACTTAGGAAAATATTACAAACTAAGATATTTTCTTTTGTTCACACTAAGGTTATTGAACACAAAAACAACTTTCAATGTTCAGTCTGATGTGAAGAGTTTTATTTCAAGTCAAGAGGTGGGAAATGGTAGTAAGTCATTACAACAATTTTCTCAACATACTATAATCTATAACACTACATAAACATATTATACATAGTTTCTTATTGCCCATTTAAGGCAAAGATAACCATTTCAGAGAGGGAGGAAAAAAAGTATTAACCTATGGTATGTCGATACCTGAGATAAATGATCATTAAACATGTTCACACAGACACACAGCAATCAAAGGTCGTCGTCGTCATCATCATCATCATGAACTGATCAGAAATTAGGCTCTACAGCATGTTTCTATTAGTTTAACTAGCAATAAAAGGTTCTATCTTTTTATCAATCACACAGGTCCATGGCACAAGTTTTAGCAACATTAAATTAAAAAATGTATGATAATAAAAGAAGGTGCAATCACAAAATGATGCAAAATTAATACTGTACTTAATGTAATGCAGAAAATTGATCACAGATACATTGTTTCCTACTTCTTTCTCGTTGGACATAATTTTCTTTGGATAAACTTCAAAAGTCAGAAGCTCTTGTCTCACCTCTTCATTTTCAATACTGACTGTATTTCAGAGCTCGAGGAGCAGAAATTCTAATTAAAACCAATCCAAATTGCTCAATAAACCTTGTCAAATATTTTAATGGTGAATTATAGAAGGTTTCCTTTTCACAATATCCCTCTGTTATGTCTTCGGAACATTCAGTTTGCCCTGACAATTTAGGGAGGGCTTCTGTGGAAATGTGTGGATAGAACACTCTTGAAACAGTGTGATAGAATTTTGAGCTTGAATTATAAATTGTGATATGGAAATCATCACTCAGACTAGCAGGCAAGGCAAGATACAAACGATAATCCAATTTCTTATTTCGCAACTTAAATTCACAAGATTCTAAAAGTTCTTCCAATTTCTTCTGAACTTCAAGTAGGGGTCGAGATCCCATTTCATAAGCAAAAAATTGTTTAGCAAGTTTATAGCGATGGCCAGTTTGTCTATCAAAAACTGAATGCTTTGAGTTTTCAAGTTGAAGCAAAGACAAAGGTAAAGAATAAGTGTGACTTGTGACAACATGGATGGTCATCAATCTTGGTTTAGTTTGCATTTCCTGATTGAAGTGATCCATCAGAGGATATACTCCACCTTGATGCAAAAAACCATAGAATACTGTGAGAACAATATTAAAGAGGTACCACAGAGTCAGCATAATATTTCCATTTGAACTTCGCATGAAGAACACTTTTGCTGACTTTCCACGTTCTGTCCACCGTTCTGTGGTGGAAGAGTGTCGAATCCTCTGTGAGTGAAGAAATATAATAGGCACGGTGACTGGGATCAAAAATCTGGCTTCCTGATGTGGAAACATGGACAGCACACCAACTGGTAGAATGAATGATGCTGTCATCAGTCCAATGATGCTTTGGATACGAGGTAAGTCACTCCACTGCTTATGTACACCTCTGGGCAAAAGACGGCATTAGAATAAGTTTTAACAAAGAGGTTAAATACCTAATAAACAATACAAAAAGAAATTTGAAAGAAAAAGGACATTGAAACCAAGATGATACATATGTAGTCCAAAATAATTAATATTAGAATGGAGATTCTTTGGCAAATTATGCCAGATCGAGAGAATTTTTACAGCAACGATGTCTCAAATTAAAATCTGCACATTTTTGTTTCACAGTGTTGCATATTATTTTATTGATTTACCCAAAAGTAATATGAAAATTGTAAACAAAAAATGTAATTACATTATAAAATATATTTCTAGATTAAACTCATAATATTTGTTTATCCAGCAGCAAAATAATTTGACTCTTAAGATTAATGTCTATATCTAAAAATAAAAATTAAGAATAATTGTATATTTAAGATGAAAAATTACTGAATATCAGAACTAATTGTTTGCAAAGGAATTTCCTCTTCCCGTATTGTTAATGTAGTAATTCAAGCCTTTTAAAAACCTTTCAAAAGGTTTAAAACCTCCTTACAATACGTTTCTTTCATATTATACATTAGGAGGAGGAATACTTGAATAATAATTATAGTTTTAATTAAATTTTAGAAAGTTTCTCTGATAATGAAAATTCTAACATTTTCAGATATATACAACCATTTTAACAAAGTTTATTCTTGAGAGCTTCTAATTTATTTACTTACTTGTACACCATTCTGAGAAAGGCCAGCAGACTCAAAATTCCTAAAACATTGTACAATAATGGAAGATTCACCAAAAAGTGTAAGTATCTTGGATGTAAACCATGCTGTGCTAAATTTTGAGAATTACTGTTGTAACGAAGAAAATTCAGAGGTGTCACAACAAAGTTATTCAAACTTACTTCTAAATGACCAATTTCAGCTTTTGTCAAATACCCATAATAAAATGAATCAATGAGAATAAATAAAACAACAGCAGGAAGAGCAGCTAGAACAAATGTTAAGATACGTAAATGGAAATGGCCAAAACCAATGTTTTTTGAACCGAGACCTCTATGCAGCCAAAAGAATATTGGAGGAAAAGCGAAGGCTATAAACGTGGGTCTATTGAAAATTCCAATAACAGTAACTGAAGCAACAGCTAAGCAATGCGTCAACGAATGAGATGGTAAAGCATTTCGCATTTTAAAAAGTTTGACTCTCTCAACAGGTGAAGCAGCTTTATCATATTTATCGCTCAGAAAATCGTCTTGCATTATTACCTGAAATGACAAAAATTGCACACTAAAATTTTCACTAATAAATATATATATATATATATATTTTTTATTTTTAAATTTTAATATATTACAATAGATAGATCATACTTACACGATCAGAATAACACATACAATCAGCCACAAGGCAAAGTAAAATTGATGTTAATACCATCTCAGTCATATTAGAGAAAGTTCTAGTTCCATAGACCAGAACCACATATGAACTTGCAAATGTGATCAACCTTGCACGATAATTTTGGCCATAACAGTAACAAATACGATATAAACAATAGTCGGCAACAAATGATAATAGACAAGAAACCAGGCGAGGAAGAATTACTATTGTATATGGGGTCAGAATATTTATACCAAACCAAAAGTCCAACAAAGGGGAAACTGATTTTAGAATTGCCAAGGGAAAACCAACAGTTATGTATGGTAATGCTACACTTCGAATTGGAAATGTTGTGTTAAATTCCCACGGGCGTGCAACTTCGACATCAAGTATGTCACCTGAAATTGAGAAAACAAAAACAAGAAAATGATACATCATAAATTACTTCACATCATCTCATTACAGAAACACATAGTACTTGTCAACTGTTAAAAAAAAAAAAAAAAAATTATGAAAAGCAGTGCTAAAATAAAGCAATTTCTTTGCTACCAATGGATTGTAACAATACAGATACAATTATTCAAAATCAACTGTAAACATACTGCACCATTCACAAAGCTGGACATGTAGGGTTGAACACAAGACTAGAGAAAGTATTTCAATCAGATGCCCACAACAATGCTACAGAATAGGAATTTCAAGATAAAGCAGCAGGATTCAGCCCATGCAATAGAGATTAGAAAAATATAAAATCCATATATTTTTCATATTTTTTAAATAATAAAACAATCATTATTATTCATATTTTGAATTTGCACTAATAAAAATAAAATAATTTTCTCAACTTTTAAAATTTCATAATTATAAATAATATAAAATTTCATTATTAATCATATTATGAACTTTCATTAATAAAAGTAAAATAATCTTCACAATTAAAAAAAAAAAAAAAAATTTCTTTCCTTCTTACATTGTAGTTTAGGGAGGAAATAAATTGAAATCACCTCAATAATACAGTGCAGAATATCTGGCCATAAAGAAATGGGTTAAAGGTTCTTTTGAGCTGTAAGTCTGCACATGTAAGAGTCAATTAGTGTTCTTTCAAAGATGGTTAAGATTGTATCAGGTGGCAAAAAGAAACATGTAATCGTAACATGTAATCTGTGAAGATGGATGGAAGTATATGTTGCAGATAACGCTCTAAAAGAGTAGTATCACATTTTGTTCGCAATAATAAAGATGATAGAATTGTCATCACATGTATTAGACCATCAATGTCCAAAATAAGCTTAAAACACCCAAAGCATTAGAAGAACCAGCAATAACATTAGCAGGTAATTTGAGAAAACAACAATAAAAGAAACAAATAAACTGGATTTTAGAAAACAACACAAAGAGTTCTTTAGAATGCTGATGATTAAATTGCAAAATGAAATTTTTTTCAAGTTATATATTTGTGGTTTCAAGTTGCTTCTACATCATAATAAATAATAATAAAATAAAAACAACACCTAGCACACACAAATAAGAGTGTAAGAGTTTAGATAATACATTTCATGCAAGCATTCGTAACACCAAGTGCATAATGAATTTCTCAATACCTATTTACATTTATGACATTTAGGAATGATCCTAATCTGAACTTGCTTGAAGTTGATATAAGTATAGCTGCAGAATTTGTGGTAGGATTATGAACAAACGTCTGAGTGCAATTCCAACCAATTAAAGCAATACAGTCACTTTCTATTGTCCGTTACAACACTACACTTACAAGAACAGTATTTTACATAAACTTAAACTGTTTGGGCCATGGAACTCTTCAGAGGACACATTTCTTCTCCAGGACCCAACCTAGTCTCTCAACTTTATTAATCTTTGTAAGTCTACCATCCATCTTTCACATTATTGATTAATTGTTTTGAATAAAATTGCAAGTTGAGTAATAATGGGGAAATATTTCAAATCCACAGATACTTTTTATTTCAAAGGAAACAGTACATTATATGACAAACATTTGTTGCTTTGTTTTTTGAAAACATTGCATTTTAAAGTAAATATTGTGAAATAAAATTCATTTTGCTACTTAGAATTGCTTTAAAATTAGGTTTTCTATCAGGCAGTTGATGTGTAAGGCCACCTAAATGTGTTTGATTTATTTATCTATTTTGAATTTCATTTTTGAGTATTTCACAGAACCTTTAAATGCTTTATATGGAACCCTGTGTGCCTAAGAAACAAAGCCTAAGAACACTTATCTATGATGTTTAGTTCATCTCTACAGAGTAATAGTAAAAAGATATAATAAAATAGAATGAATAGGAATTTTTGGAGAAAAATGACATTTACGAAGATGACAACATTACTTTAAGGAAGCTGGCTCTGAAATTTAATACCCCAGTTACATAGTTATGTAAATGAAATCTTGCAAAACTAAGCTGCAAAAGAACTCATTGTCAAGAGTAAATCATATTATGTTACTAGACATGTTTCTTTTCTTTTGAGTTTGAAGATATAAAATGTTTTGATGTTTTTAACAAAATGTTGGAATTGTCATAAGTCACATTTCTCAATTCTTTTTCAGAGTTGTGGCTAAAAATATGTTTGCTTTCTTTCATGTGCTGATGAATGTCTGAATTTCCCTGGGATCTGTACAAAAGTAATCGGAAAAGGAAAACTAACCCCTCTAGTACAATGTGCATATCATGTATTAATGACTGCATATTCATAGAAAGAAGCAATAAGAACAATATTACAGATGAAAACAATATAATTCATTATGTAATCAATCGGCTATTGTTACAGATGACTAAAAATTATTCGTACCAATTGCTAAAAATGCGAAACGTGCTAAAAAAAATTAGTAATTTATGTTTGCTGGACAGTGCAGTATATTTCTAAAGGTTTCCAATCTGCGATAAAATAGTAAGTCAATCGCCAAATGGGAAATCACGTACAAAGTGTGAAACGGTCGAGAGTTTGCAATATATTTTCTAAATTGTATTTTATGGTTTCCTTTGTGATCGCTCTTTAACTTGGGATGTAACATTGACAACACCACATCAATATTTGAAATAATTTAATTTGACAGTAGCTTAGTAGATAGTAGTTAATTTATAATTAAGATTTAACTGACAAAACAAAGTGAAAAATAATGATCCTGAAAGCTGAGTGCTCAGGGTCATCTCAAAGGGTCTCAGCTGAACTTCGGAAATATTTCAGCTATCAAATAAAATTTTTATTTGATTTAAATAAAGATATTACACTGGAATCAGACTCTTGTATCGGCTTATTATTATTATTATTATTATTATTATTATTATTATTATTATTATTATTATTATTATTATTTTCATAATCACTTGATTAATAATATTAGAGAAAATGCAGTTCCTGACTGCCTATAAATGCTGCTGACAATGCAATATAAATATCCAAGTTTACCTAAGCAGCTGTAATGAGTCTGGTCACCTACCAAACCAACAAGTACTCTACAGTGTAGATGCTAAACAATTCTTCAATCAATGTAGTTTAATTGTTAATTGATGAAAGAAATAAGTTGAAGGAAGCAAACAATGATATATGCTTTCAGATAAATTTCTACTGATTGTGCTACATATTGATACGTATAAACTGATTTCATTTAACAAAATGATATTTTGAAAGAATGTTGTGTTGTTTTAATAAGTATTTGCAAATTGCAAGACATTCTTTACCTTTCCTTTGAATAGTCACATTCAAAAACTGTAGCATGCAAGACAGGAATAAAACTATGGATTTAAAACAACTTCTTTAAATATTTGTTGAGGTTTGCAAATGGAGAAATATTAAATTAGTTTTTCTTACTTCCAATTTTAATAGGAAAATCTAAAATGCATCAAAATAGTTTTATCTGAAAAAGCCATTCCTTAGTATTAATTTTTGTTTCAACAAATGCAAAATCTGAATTTTTATAATGCTATAGCCTTATTCTCAAAATGCGAATTTTTAAAATTTAAAATGCTAAATTCTACCATCACTAATTCTTGTAATTGCCAATTTAAGAATGACAATTTGCTAATAGGTACTTATTTTAACCTAGGTTCCAAACGTAACGAAAGTCTTAGTCTATTCTTTTCATTAAATGTACAGCAATAGAAAAGCAACAGGCAATAAACATTTAAACTAAACAATAGCACAAATCTAAAGAAAACAAACAACTAATAGTAAACAAAAACAAAACATAATAGTGCTTTGAACATCTTCAAAATATTTAAGACATTATATTCAAAACTAATTGGCAAAACACCTGGGATAGACAAAGTTTGACAGGCACATCCATGTATTCTCTGGTGATACTTTAATCTTGCATGTAGAAATAAAAACAAAAGTTAAAACATTATACCATTTAGTACAAAACTATTGCAAAATAATGTAATATATTCATTACACTCCATTATTTATCTATAAATGAAGATAATTATAATACACACAAATAATAAGTTCATTAATTCAGTTATTGATAAAGCTGAAAGGGATATGTTCAATTCCAAGAACATTCAATAATAGTTTAAATGTCTTTTGACTTGAAAATACAAACCTGCAACAACTTCCAGTGACTGAAAATATTCATCAGGATGAATATATCCTATCTGGGGGAGAAGAGTTAACACTATTCGAAGGGCGGCCAAAAACCAGTAAGGTACCAAATTGAGTCGTACAGGGCATCCGTAAGCTCCTTTGCAATTAGGGTCATACTCGATAAAATTCTGCGTTGATTTTCTTTGCATCGTGCTATCACACAATTAAATCCAACAATTTTTATAAGTCTACTCGCTACCGCACTGAAGTCACACGCACCATGAATTGTTCATGTGTTGAGTATTCACTTAATAAATATAATTTTAATAATACTTTTGATCTTCGAAAAAAAATATGCCAGAATATCAAACAATTTGTTCACCTATGATACAAATGTCAGATTTACAGCTGATACTTTCCGCGGCCATATTCATTTTGTTGCTCCAGTACTTTCGCTTCTGTGCACATCTGGGATATAATACTCTCTGGTGCCCGTCTGGGATTCCGGAAGTGACGAATTCATGTGAAATCTTGTTAGGCGGGAAGTTTAAGAGTATTTTTGTCGTGTAGCACCACCGTCTTAATATAAACAGATGTACATGTATCCATTCTCAACTTTTCGTTTTCAGTAACGTTTTGTAGAGTTTGAAGGCCATTAAAATGAATTAAAACAGATTTTATTTTACTTAATTAAGTAAAATTAGTACATGACAGTGACATGCAGCAACCAAAACACTGCTGAACAAAACCAAAGAAAATAGTTTTCTAAAACGTAGCTCTCACACTGCTCAAGAACTATAAATAAAATATTATCTCACAATACTATAAGACATTAAATATTTTAACAAAAAGAGCCTTCAAGAATACTCCAGTTATATAGTATAGCACACAGGTATAGAATTTTAATAAAACCGACAAAGTGCAGGGACTGATTCATGAAATGAAGGAAGAAGCGGTAGCATAGTTAGAGGGAACAAAGGGGCGGTTCGCCCCAGGTGGCACCAATTAGAAAATTGTATAGTTTGAATTATTTAAAATTTATTTCAATTATACTGAATTATATGCAGTTTTTCGATATATTATAAATAAATGTCATGGGCAAATGTACTTGTATTATTATTAAATAATTTATAAATTATTCAGTAATAGACATTTTTATAATTTAATTCATGGGGAAGGGGTAACACTATTAATTTGGCCCAGGGTGACACCAACTAAAGCTATGCCTCTGCGAAGATCTATGAACTTGAGTCGGGAAATGGACGGTGTGCGTGCATCGACAAAAATCGCTCAGTGCAAGCTGATCCGCACCCATGCCATAACATATTAAAAGTGGCCTCCATGAGATGCAGTGCTTGCACACGTCGTATTGTCTCACTCTTTCGCACATTCCGGCTTCTCTCCGAATAGTGTCAGAGGTGCTGTGAACACGCTGTTGAAGGGTCTGCACATTAGGAACTGGTTCAACATGCGCAACGCTTTTAGACGCCCGTAAAGGTAAACATCCAGGGGGTTTAAGTCCTGTGACTTAGCATGTCATTCAAAAAGTCCTCAGCATCTTATCCAACGTCCGGGGAAGATGTTGAAGAGACGGCGAATTGTAATGCAGAAGCGGCTTGGTGCTCCATCGTGCAGAAACCACATAACCTGTCTTATCGCCAAAGGCACGTTATGTTCTCAAGCGAACCAGACAGGGGGCTCTGCACGAAGTCCAGGTACGTTCGTCCGTTGAGGCGTTGAGCAATAGCTGGTTCAAGTATGTGGTCGCAAGAATCCCTGCCCCAGCATTGATGCTAATGAGATGCTTCTACTATATCCCGGGGATTTTCTGTCGCCCACAAACGACGTTTATGCAGATTGATGATGTCATTTCTGGTAGAGATTCATTCATGGGAGTTAAGAAAATGGAGAACTTATAATAATTTGCAAAACCTTTGCCGAGAAGGGAAACATGGAACATGAACATTAACACTAGAAAAACGAAACTGCTATTCTACGGCTCTAGTTTCTGCCTAGACATTACAAAGAATAATAAAAACAACCACGAAAGGCTTTAGGTGCTTACACAATTTAAACTCTTTAAGTTTAGACACATCAAAACTATTAGGTATTCACTGCACTATCACATTGGCCATCGAGGCGTAGAACTATTTACAAAAAATATAGTAAAAAATTGCAATCCCTGAGCATATCGCCTTTAAGCGTTATGCTAGTCCACTCCAGTGATGTGCAGTTCATGGTGGAGATTTTCATAATCGTTGAGTACAGTGCCTTCTTTCGCCATGCCACGTGCGTTTAGCCATTCAAACTCACTCTCCCCTTAAGCTCGGCACACGTTCGAGCGTCCTGATGAGGTTTACCCGTACAGTGCAGGCAACCCGAAGCGATTGTGCCAACCTCTGCAGCCCAAAGGACCCAGGCGTAGCGACCTGCGCAGGCGACTGGAGGAGAATCGAAATTCACTTCTTTCTACATGCACTGGCTTGTAGACCTGAGCGTGTGTGTGTCACTATAGTACGTACGCCTGTACAGTTTTTAAGGGGAAATGGAACGATTTTTCGGTCAAAAATAGTTTTTTGTTATTTTATTTTTTATAAATCTCCAGAATTTTTTCTTTAAATTGGCGTTTGAATTTTGTTAATATTATTCTTACACGTACTTTTTATTATACATGTGAGAAATCCTTCTTTCATTGTGCTTAGGTGCTGGGATACAATACTTTTAGATACTGTTATGCAGCACATAAATACTAAAAGATTCATATATGCGGAAAATAAATTGAAAACTTGCTTGTGAAGCTTACCAACTTAAAAAAAAGTGTCAAAAGGAAGTAGTTATTGGAAAATGATTATTGTGATGAGGCAAGAAATCGCGCTTCCGTGTTGTGAAGGTTGCGTCTTTTTAGTGCATTTCCCGAAAGTTGATATTTTTGATACAAAATTTACCTTTTCTCAACTTACATTTATAGTACGAAACTTCAGAAGATATTAATAAAGGTCTCCTACATTTATTGACACAATTTTGTTCTATTACTTTAGTATTATCCATTCTACAGAACTTTATTTACTGAAAAACTTTAAAAAAGCGCATTATCAGAAAATATTTTTGCCTACAAAATTTTTTCAAAGCCGTAATATCAGTGTTATTATGAATAACATATGTACAATCTGTAAAAAATTCATAAGCCTAATTTGTCTCCAGAATTATTTTGCCAAGAGCTTCGGGTGATATAACAATAGAATACTAGAGATATTCGTACGCTCAGCCCGTAGCAACTGAAAGGAGCTGTCAGTCTCACATGTAGAAATAGAACTTCTCATAACTGTATTTGCTTGACGTTACAAGTGACAACAGTTTTTGGTAGACTTCTTCATTCATCTGCATATAATTACGGCAAACTGTAGGATCTGAACTTAACTCTTTTAGTAATCTTGTAGGAGTGTATTCATTTCTCTTTGTAAGCCAATCTTTACGCCAGGGTTTGCGTTGTCGCTTCTTTTCACATATCATGGCCACAACAAACCGACAAGAGCGATCGTTTTGTTTGTACGCCATCACTCGACTGAGTTAAAATCTTCTAGTTTACCGTAGCGTGTGTGTGCTCTAGTCTTCAAAGGTGTACGTTTCAGGTTTACCTGTGCGTCGGAGGGCATGGGAGGGTGCCAGGAAAAGGCCCTTGTCGGTCCTTTGGCGGCGCGGCCTTCGAAGTGAATTGCTTGAGGCAGGGCGAGGCCTAAATCAATTGTTTCCCTTCAACAGGGCGGGAAATAGATCACATCATGGAGCGCCCCACTCAGAGGAAAATTAATAGTTCTGTATTCCGCGCCGGGACAAATGAGTTAAAAATGGTTAAAGAGGACTGACGACCGAAATCCCATAATTGTGACGGTCTGGGGCGAAAACCATTGACAAAATCCTCCCCGCAGAGGGAAAACTGCTGGTGATAATTCTTACTCTCGTAGGTGATAGGGATGATAGCGTTTGCCAGGAAGGACATACACAATCGTACTTTTGCTTACTTATATATAATAGCACTTGCATGGAGCTTGTATTAAGGTCCTCCATAATATCCTGTACAGCATGTTCCTCCAAATCCGGTGTACGTAGAGTCCGCCGCATCTCTGCACGTTCGGCTCTCTGAAATGGCCCATGATCACACAAACGCCCAAAAATGGTTTGAAAAGTTATATGAGGTGGTAGTTGCATCTCGACCATTTGCTAGGCCGCACACCAACCCCATCTCGGGTTGTTCCTGAATTGAACACCAGACCATTCTGCTTCTTAGAGTTGCTGTTGCTTCAATTACACAATCTCTAGCACACAGGAAATACAGTGCAAGTTATCAGAGAAAATAATGTCAATCATCAGTGCCATCTACCAATGCACATTGTCAAAGCCATTACCGTTGCAATGGTGCATTTCCGGACATTGTATGACATTTTCCCTCCATTTCCAGTCAGAAACGAGGGCCCTACAGTTTTCACCCTCTATGAGGACCACAATACTACAGTTTTGTCCATACCAAAAATGCCAACAAAAACAATTGGTCATTCATAATGGATCACAAGAATAGCAAATATTTAATAGCGGGCGGCCTTTTTTTCTGCAACCTTGCTGAAGAATGACCTCAGTTGTTTCTCCTACGTAAGCAGCAGCGCATTGCAAATCAAAATAATTCAATCGGGGGGAGCAGTTTGGGCAGTCGATGGGTAGACATAAGTGGGTGCACGTTGCAAAAGGCGAGGCACAAGATTTTATTTTGTTTATGTTGTTATTCTAAATTTTCCATCTCAAAATACTTCGAGAAAAGTTTGGGTACAAAGTCCCCCCCTCAACAAAAATGCGAATTTTTTGGGGACATTTTTGTTTGTGCGTAATAACTTTTCAATAGTTGATCTTAGTTCAAACTATTTGTGTACAATTTTAAAAGTCATATAGTTCTCTACAAATTACCTTTGTATATTATTGTTATCAAGCGAACAGAAACGGAGCTACGAAGTTTTAAAATGACACTATATTTTCCTTCTTATTCTGAAGGTACTCAAAATTACAACTGGTTTCTCTAATAGTGGGTTCCTAAGGTCAATGGGTCATATGAATAAAAATGAGCATTTACTCAGGAGTACTTGCTCCGGAGCAAAGTGAGTCTACTCCGCGGCACTGAGCAGAAGCTCCATTTCGTATGAATACAAACTTCGTATGTCTCCATAGAGCTTACTCATGTCTCGCGAGCATTTGCTCGTTGTGAACAAGTGATAGTGTATGCTATGAGTTTTAAAAATTGGTTTCTTGAGTAATAAAGAGGTTACATAAGTTACGCGCATCGTGCACATTTGTGCGAAATAAAGAGCAATGTTTTGTTGTCTCGTTCTTTAAATTCGAATATGAGTAGCAGTAACGAAAAACAGGCGCCAGAGGCCCAGCTAGTTTTGCCGAAATGCTAAGCGAATATAAAATTAATTTTGAAAAGAGCCAACTTTCGGAGGTTCACCGTAGTTGAAACGAAACAAAGTTTGAAAAAACAGTACCCAGAAAAAATCCAAGTAGAAAAGAAAGATGCGCAATTAACATAGAAGATATGCAATATGAAAACGCGCCTGAAAGAAAACGCCGATAAAAATCGTACCAACCATTCATTGTCCTTTTCGAATCGGCAAAGATTCTAATAGTCTACATCACGAGAATTTCTTCTTATCTTGTAATTTTTTTAGTCCGCTGCATCTGCATATCAACACACGGTAAAAAAAAAGTCGGCCAATTTAACCTTACCTTTCAAACGTGAGTTGCTTCTAAGGTCCCTCCAAAATTTTAGAGCAAGTGCTCACTCTAGAGAGTAAACGCTTAACTTTATTCATACGAATTCTGCGCATTTGGTCGCCAGCGAAGAGTACGCTCAGAGATACAGCAAGTGCTCGGAGACTGATCAATTGCTCACCCAATTTATTCATACGAAACTGAGAAGGATCTCCTAAACGCGTAGCAAAGAGTAATTGCTTACTTTTATTCATACCACCCACTATAAATAAAAAGTGATTAAATATTAATGTTTTAATACTTACTGAGGTTGAAAGTACTGGTAAAAGCGGAGTAGGGCGATACGTTCTGCCAACTAATACGATTCACTTACATCAAAAGCTTTCGTTTTTTTCTTCTGCCAATTATTATTATCATTTTAAAAATAATTTTACTTTTGTGTTTTGTTTTTGTAATCGGCCAACATGGGGCCACGCGATAATTGCACCCCACCGGGGCTTGGTTATCGGGGAAGGACCACGTTAATTTTCTATAGCATGTTAATTCTAATTTCATTTTTATACCCCAGGGTTGTTAGCTCTGGAGGATGGGATGAAATGATGATGATGATGATGATGATGATGATGATGATGATGAAATACTCACACAAACATACAGACACAAACACACAACACTACCATGCCCGAGGCGGGACTCGAACCCACAATCTTCTTCTTCGCAGATTATAATATATTTATTTCTTAATTTATTTAATTACCCACAACAGGACAAAGCTCAAATAGTTTTTCTGTTATAATGTAGCACATGATCCTCATTACATTTATCAATCACATCATCCATTTGGAATTTTCCAATTCTGGCATTTAGGTCAACAATTATTAAGTAGTCATTCTTATTTATCTCACAAATAGTTTTTTTAAAGTAAACAATAAAACTCCTGTTTTTTTCTGTTTCTAGATGTATAGTCACTTGCCAATATTAAACGGTTACGTAGTATAAACACAAAATTTTAATAAAACTGTAAATTAATAGAATGAACTACTATCTGCTCATCCCGTAAGTGCAGTGCGTGTTTCTTATGGCGGGAAGTGGCGGTGATCTTCCCCCGCTGGGTGGCGATATCCGGCGTCGACATACCCGGCGGCTTGCGGGAGCTTTTCCCAACCAAGTCTCTCCCACCAGCGGGACACTACTCCAGCCGCGATAAGCTCTTAGCTCCCGGCCGGGCACCCAGCATGAGTGGAAGTGCAGTGCATGTGAGTGTGAATGTAAGGGGTGAGGAAAGGGCAAGGAAGAGGAAGGAAAGATCGCGCGCGGTCCGCGGCCCGTTAATTTAGCGACCGATGACCATTTTTACTCAGATCATTTGGTGGGTGGGATTTGCCAGTTTTAAGTGCCAATCAAGCAAAAATATATTATGGTAAACTTCATAAAATTATATGATCTGACACAACAGTGTATATGCGATTTAGAAATTGGTTACACAAGAAGAGGATTTGTTTCCTTAGTAATTAGTGAACTACTAAGTAATATGAGTGATCAATTTATTCACGTATTATACACATTAAAAATATTTCTTGATTATATTGAATACGATGATTTCCAGATTTATTGAAAGGCACTGCTACCAAGTTGATTAGGACACAATGTAATAATTTAAAAATAAATTGCAAGAATTCATCATGAAATATTGAAAATATATAGGAAGAATTCACGATTCCATTTTGAGGGAGAGATCTAGATGAAAAAATTAGAGACCTTGTAGTATAAAATAAATAATATTTACTGATTTTCTGTTTACATAGGCGTTGGGCAATACTTTACAAAGCATCTACATTATTAACATACACTGCTACACCTCAATTTTAATACAAATATAAGAAAATACAATATAAAAATAATCATTGACTTGGAGTATTTTAACATTCTCTTAGTAACATCTAAGAACTACTAATTTAAATTTATCTTCACAAGAGTATTCACATTTTATAAAAGAATTATACTATATTACAGATTTGTGTTAGGAAAATGCAAATGTTACAGTTAAATTTATAAAAATATTTACCAGAAATATACACATCAGTCAAAAAGATATTAATTGTAAGTTGTCTACAAGAATATTTGTCTCAAAGAATGATGAATACAAAGAAGACGAGATCATTTACTATGAATAACAATTATATGATGCTAATGAATTAAATATTGCTTACCTAAAAATCTCAGTTGACAACTTGACGTATGATGATGAGAAACTGCCTTTCAAAATCTTGATGGTCAAATCTCGACGTAAAGATTATCACTGAAGCCATTAACCACGCACATGAAACAATGCATCCAATGCACAGAGATTTTTGAGTGATCGTGTTCATTCTACTAATGTACTCTTTGTTTGGAACATTCGTAAACATCAAATTAGCAGTTCACTATCTAACCTCACTTTCGTATTTAATCTTAAGTAATACGTTGTTTGAGATTAAAAAAGTTTAGACAAGAAAAATGTCAGAGTTAGAAACACGAGTTAGAGAGCTCATTTTACGTAATGCGAGCAGTGTGACCCAGTTTGACAAGCCCGAAGAAGCTCTTCTGCGGTTGGAATAGAGTCCAGCGAAGGCTGCCAACTTCGCGCACTGACACTTGGTCTCCTGGTCCCAGGTACATTGCGCCTGCGGTGAAGCAGGTGTTCGACCTGGGCTCTTCCGCCCCTCCCCCGGTCAGCCCGGCCGTCACGGTGCACTGGAGCGCCGACGCGTTGTTCACCAGAATGCTGAAGCCGTTGGTGTCGTGCCTATCCAAGTAATGGATCTGCAACACGACAACTTTCGTCACTCTCAACAGATTATAGTGTTGTATGCATGTATGATGTCGCGCAAGTTTTCTTGATACACGAGCTCCCTAGTCCTCCCCAGCGCTAAGTTAGTTAGGTTCGACTCGGAACGGCACGCACCAATTTACAATGCTGCCAATAACCACGTTGTACCTTCAAAATCGTAGTATTTCTCGTGACACGCTTTGGCGAGTGAAGTTCATGCTTACAGTTGGACCGCCCTTTTAAGCCGTGATTTAGTCAGAGACCTCCTCTCGCCGTACCTCCTGCTGTGCAATATCAAGAAAACTTGCGCGTATAGTATGTACGTATGTATGTGTATACTTGGCATTTTCGGTCGATAGTTCGATTTTTGCCGGCCAGGTTACGGTGTCCCCCACGCATGGACCTAGTTAAATTCCCCTGCTTGGGGGTAAGAGCAACATACGGTGAACATATTGTAGTCCCTTCTCCGTAACTAGCAAGATCCGCCTGCCACAGCCACACAACCACAAATTTTATTTTTACCTCGACCGGGAATCGAACCCGGAGCCACATCACGGGACGCCAGTACACTACCCGTATCTTAGTGTTATTTTATTAAAATTATATACGACTGCAACTACCGCACAACTTTTGGGTGGAGCAGAGGCGAATAAATTTTTAGGATTTTTTGTCTTCCCTTCCAACAGTCACGTTCTCTCCATGTTAATAATCTTACAATACAATAACTCGCATATAACCATTAATATCGTTCTTTAAAGTACTTACATTTTGAAGAGTTAACGTCTTTTACAAATCAATTTACGGTAATATTCTCCCAATTCTGCTTACAAATTGAGATGCTAGGAACGCGATAATATTTATTTGTTAGTTCGCTCTTATGGCATATTTCAGCCTTTTTGGTAATCCCCGTTCCGGCCTACCCCCTTAACAACATCCTAAGGCACCCTCATTAATCCCCTTTGAATAGCCATCCTTTCTATTTTCAACTTTATACTTCATTTCAAACCTTCAATTTGTGACAGTTATTAATATTTCCTTGTGCCATCAATCCGCTTCATAAAAAGTATGAGTCTATTTTTTATGTTGTTTTTTCAACGTAAAATTAGACCTTTTATGATTACCGTGACACGTTTCATGGGTCAAGTAATACTTTGTGATCAAGACATTATATGGGATATAGTGAGCACCGCCTCAGCCTAACAACCTCGTATCTTGGAAAAAATACATTAAATAATATTTACTCCTTAAGTTTTTAAAAAAATATGACTCAAAATGACGAAAAAACAGGGTATTTTAGTTGTTGTAAGGGTTCCCCATAACCAATTTTAAACAACGTTTCTTTGCTGGGGATGTTTATTTTTATAATGAAAAATAACATTTGTTTGCTAGGCCATTGACATCTATTTTTGCATGTGCCTTGAAGACCAATCTCAGCTTTATAGCCGACCATGGGTGAGTGTAATATTATTACTAAGGTGTGTTTGAAGGGAGAGGTTTAACAGATGACGTACGGTGGTTGGAGGTTCTTCATCATGCCACAACACAAGCGAACATTCAAATCCCAGACAGGATTTCAACCTACATCCTTTAAGCCGAGACCGTCCCGTCGTTTATGCCTTAACAATTTCGGCTACCTAGGTCAACTATAGTTAGGTTAGGTCAGGGGCTTTCAAAATATGCATTGCGGTTCCCAGGGGCGTCGTGATTATTAAAAATGATATTTAGATTAATTTACTTTAATGCTCATGCCATTTATGTCTATAAAATAATTCTCTCATACTATATGTTATTTGCAATGTACATAATTATTTTACTTCTTAATTATGGATTAATTGAACCTGGCAAGTCCTTTACCAATAGCCTATTGAATAACTTACCCATTTGTGTTGAATCTTTGTTAGAAACCCTTATGCTTGAAACGCATTGTCGCCAGGGGAGCCGCGGGAAGTTTCGTTTAGGTAAAAGGTCGAAAAAAGTTTGAAAACTTATGGGTTAAACCAATAAATATTTGAAGGTAACAATCCACTTAAAATTTTATAGCTAAAATATATTTTCTTTGTATGAAGAGAACTTGTAAAAATACACAGTGCAGTTGTATGAGAACCCTTTCCAGAACTTTGTATTATCAAGTAATGAATCGTTAAAAAATGGTAATTACATTTCACAGAAAAAATTATTTTAATTTATTGCGTTGTAACTTAGCTCATTTTCGGTTATTCTACGAACTATTCTGAAACCTGTAAGGCATAAAATATAGTCCAAAAAAATTGTCGATATAATTATTTATTATTATGTATTATAATTATTAATTATTTATTTAAGAATAAAGTTTATTAAATAGAGAATTAAGTATATTGAATTAAGAATGAAATATATTGTCAGCATGAGATGACGGAATGATTTCCTATTATTAATTGGTAACTGATAACACATATATACTATGCAGTACACATTGTTAATTCTCATGTAAATCAAACACGTAATATGATTGCGTGAAAATTTATTAAATTTACCTGAGCATACACGAAGTACAGACCACTATCCGCGACAGTGACAGCGCCATCTTGGAGGTTGAATTTTTTGTCCATGTTCAACTGACCCATCCAGCTTGCTGGAGACCAGTCGACAAACACTTGGGTTGGATGCCTCAGCTTTCCGTTACCTGCACAAACGAAATAATGTTTTTAACATAAATTGACAATACTAATACAAACATTATATTTGTATGGGAGAAATATATGGATGACATACCCCCTCCACATAATTACATTATCTTTTCAAGCAAGTTTCCCCACGCGTCACAATATTAAGGAAGCCCAGAGGAGAATAAAGATATTTAAGAAGAAGATTAAAGATGCCCCAGAGCAGAAACGTCGCAGCAGATCATAGAATACCTGTGCAATGTGAGGGTGAGAGTAGTTGTGCATAAAATCAATCCTTACTCTCGATTTGAGTTAGTTAAAAGAAATATGTGGTTCCGTTGACAGTTCCACCTGCGCTCAGCCAATCCAAAAGCCATCGAGCTTTCCATCGGAGAAAAGCGTGAGCATCGTGTTTTGCAAACTGTGAGAATGCGAACACCTTCGCCCTTCAAAAATTGAACTACCGTTTGAGGGATCCGTTTGGACGAATTCATGCAGAGAATGTATCAACTTCGACGCCATTTGTTGGTTTTAAACAACACAGAGCATATCGGTCTGTTTTTCATGTATTATGCCACCTGTTATACATCTACACATGCAGTGTTACGCAATGGTATTGGGACAAAACGTGAAATTTCATTTGAGCAACCCTTATAAATTGCGACGAGAATATCGCTAATCCTGCTATTGATTTGATATCCATAACAATATGATCAGTTTCATGAAATGTAGGACAATAATGGAACCTTCAATCACGTGTGTCGTTGGGAAAGTTCAGTATTGAAAAAAACATTTTAAAACGTTCCTAGTCATTGTCAGTAGCCATTTCAATGTTATGAATGAATTATTTTTGAAATATTTCACGCTATAAATAATTTTTTTATTTATTTTGGACTGAACCTAATGTTTTAGTAATAAATACATATGAGAAAATAAGATTTACCTCGATTCACATTACCGAAAAATGGACATTTTTAGAGTAACTATAAAGTAACAATGCGTATTTTTATGAGTAAAAATTGCAGATAGAAACTCAAAACTTAAAAAAAGTTGTAGAACGTTTTCCGTAGACTGTGAATTAAGGGTTCTTGCCCAATAGCCCTCGTAAAAACCGGGCTCTGGTGTAAGACTTACAAATCCCCTTTGACAGACACGCAGTACAACGATGCACTGCGTGTTGCATATTCAGACTTCAAAAGGATCTTAAAAGGCAAAAATCAAACATTTCTCAGGTGCCTTCTGTGAAGGGGGGAAATATCCTATTCAGAATGGGCATAATCCATGCATATTACTGCTTCTGCGCATCAACTTAATTTGCTGGTCAATGAATTCTTATTTTTCCGTATACTTACGTATATACGAAGTGTAGAGAAAGTTATGTAATGCTGCGAAAAATCGAGTTCCCGATTTCAAGGGAAAAACACTTTTTGGGGTTCCCTGTTATACAAAAAAGTGGTTCTTTTCAAAACGTCCGCGTCTATGAACACCAGTAGCGCCTAAACCATGAGTCGGAGTTTTTCTCAATTGAAGAAACCGAGTTCATCTAGCTCGAGTCGAAGCTCCGAGATTTTAAAGAATTATTTAAAATGTTGGGGTACTTTACAGGAAGCCTTCCGGACATTTTAAAAATTTTCTCAGAACGGCTCCAATTTTTTTCTTTAAATTTCTTGTAAGAATAGAGTAAAAGTGGCATATGTCCGATTTTCTCGATTAACTCAAATTTTTCGAATATTTCAAATGTATGATTTTTTTCGGTACCTTCCTACAAATACAATATTAAAGATAGAGATTTCTTATTCAAATGAAATGTGTTGCCCATAATTAGTTCTTTTATTACGGTCATGTATTTTTTTTAACATTTTAGTAGTTTTTCTCGCAATATTGCGTAAAGTATTAGCAATTTAAAAAAAATCAATGTCGTGGTCTCTTGAATTTCGATTTTTTTTAAATGTGAGGGTTCTTTACATGAATTCTCAAGTATATTTTCATTTCTCCATTTTTAAGAAAACAATTGTTTAAAAATCGTATACATTTCAAGATGAAAACTACAGGTACACAAAAACTACTCATATTTTTCGTATTTGAAGATCTGTCTTTGAAGAACAGGTTTAATTACGGGATTCAATATTGTAGTCGTAGGAAGACGCCAGAAAAAGTTTGAAATTTGAATGTTTGAAATATTCAAAGATTTGAACGAAAATGAGCCTAGCGCTTTTTTTACAAGTCCTTTACACTTTCCGAGGTCAAAGTTCAATGAAGAAATTTGGAGTTATTCTTGAGCAAATGTAGAAAATGTCTTTCAGAATCTATACAAAATATATAAAAACTCAATATACCCGTTTCAATCTCGTATGACCTCGAGTTCGTTCAGGTCGATTGGCAAATATCAACTTTGGACAAAACCCGTGAGAACGGTTTGCGATTTCTGAAAGGTTTGATTATTTTTGTTAATATGATAAAAAGATTCGCGTGTACAAAATGTTGCAAGCACCTCTGCTTAAAGTTCTTCGCTCCCGTCGGTAAACCGGTGACTCGAAAAACATTTACTTTTGAGCCTCGATACATATTAGTGGTTTATGTTTTACTGTGGAGAGGATTTTCCCGAGCGCGGTGGTTTAGGTGCAGAGGAGGAGCGCACTGAAGCACAGCAGAGGTTGCTAGTTGCGAGTTTGTAAACGTCACTTTTCAGCCGAATTACATACAAAATTTTGGTACTTTCACCACTGACTTCATTTAACTTAGTTCACCTGATTACGAAACAACCCTCGTACCGTGATTTGAAACAAGATTGAAGTGAAGTTTCCTGTTCATCTTTTGGAGATGCAGCTGCAGTAGGTGAAACTGACGTTTCAGTTCCCGTAGTTGTTAAGAGCTAGTGTTCTGTACATTCCAGTGTTCCTAATAGTTATGTGTCGTGCAGTTATAAGATGATGGGTTTGACGGCTTGAAACTATAAACATCGCGGTCAATGCAGCATATGTGAAGCTTTCCACACCCGTAAACGGTTCATGAAATCCATGTTGAGAGGTGAGATTGTTTGATTGATTGATTAGTGAATCCGGAAGCGTCAACTGCTAAGGTTATTAGTCCCGTAAGTATTGTGCATGTATTTAGCGGGAGAGGTAGCAGTGCTCTTCCCCGCTGGCAGACGAAACCTCCGTCTGCTTAGGATACCACCGTGGCACCGAATCAATCGGCACAATCTCGAAAATGCGGACCGGTCTCCCGGCACGTGTGGTAGTGTAGTGCACATAAATGTAAGTGTGTATAAGTAAGGGGCGAGAAGAGGACAAGGAAGAGGTAGGAAAGATGGCTCAAGGTCCGTTAGGGTACTGCTTCGGCATTCGCCTGGCGTTGATGGGAGAAACCGATCAGAGCAGCCGGCCGCTAGAGTTGTCGATTTCTTGGCTGTTCGGGTGGCAACCCAGAGGTCATGAAGGGAAGCCCGCGAGGCAGGAGTCGCGGCGCACGCACCTTCGAAGTGCGAGGTGGAGCCCAGCTTGTAGGAGGAGGCGTCGCCGCCGTAGTGCGCGGCGAAGACGGGCCGGCGGCGCAGCGCGTGCGCCGAGCGGCCCGCCCCCGCCGCCTCCTCGCCGTCGCGCAGGCTGCCCAGCGTCTTCTTGGCCGCCGACTTCTTCTTGAGCCGCGGGGCCGCGCCGGAGCGCAGCGCTGCTGGGGCCTGGTCCTGCGCACACGGCACTCATGTGGCTTCACGCCCGCTTCACACCCAACTTTCAAAAGATTTTTTAAAACAATTGTCAAATCAAACCGCTCATTCTTTACTAATGAAAATAAAGTAATTTACAAATTATTTTTAACTATGTTAAACACGTAGTTCAATAAATTCTGAAAATTTAAGTGCAATGGTAATATTGATAATTGGAATATTCCTGCAGTTTTACTTTCTAGCACAAGACTAACAACTATTTGTCTTCACTTTTTTGAGAGGACAGTCAGGAAACTTAGTTTGATTTTTTTGCGGAATCTTCTTCCGACTATAAAATTGAAGATACAGATTTTTCCTTCAAAAAAAAAAAAAAATTTTCCATAGTGAGTTCTTTCAATGAGAACATGTACTTTTAAAAAGGTATTTTTGTACTTTTCGCGCAATAATCCGCTCATTATGTGCAATTTAAAAAATACAAAAATTATATACATATCACAAAAACGGCTCCAAATTTTTTCTTTAAACTTTTGATAGGTATAATAGTAAATGCACTCCATACGATGACATAAACGCCATATTGCTCTACTATTTTCTTTTTCCAAATGTACAAAAAAATATTTTTTTTATTTGTTCCTTAGGTCGTAAGTACTTACATTAATAGCAATTTGTTGACATTAATTTATTTAGAGTACAAGTGCTTTAAATAATGTTAGATAAAGTTTCTCAAAAACTCTACAGTTTTATTTTAAATTTAGCTTAAAATTCCGCATTTTCAGAAACACTCAAACGCTATTTTCTCTAAAAATCTTCATTTTTTTCCTTAAACTTTTCAAAAATATAGTGCTAACTGCACATGATATAGAATTCATTTTCCTGTCTTCTTTCGTTAGTTTTTTCAAATGTAATTTTTTTAAGTATCTCTCTCGCCATTGATACGCACATTTTCAACGATTTGTAAACACTATTGTATTTGTGACTTGAAGTTCTTGAAATTACTTTTTATGAAGTTTTCCAGAACCTCAATAGTTGCTTGTTAAAAGAGGTTCAAATTTAGCATTTACAGTAGAGCTTAAAAGCCATTTTCTTAAAAACGGCTCCAATTTTTTCAAATAAAATGCCCATTTAGAACATTTTTGGTTCTTTAATATTATTAGAATAATGCTTCCGTTCTACAATTAGTAAACAGCAAAATTAAGAAAAGTTCTAAAAAGTATACTTTGCGCGGCGATAGATGGCAGCTGGCAATAGTATGTGGCAAGTCCGACTAGCTAGCCGAGACTAAAGGAAATAAAAAAATCATTACGGGAAAATCTGTGCCAATGTGTAGCACCACTAGTTAAAATTTGTTTTCAGTTAACGAGTGCAACAACGATTGCTGAAATTGATAAACACGTGAAGATGATATTTTGCGATAAATGAAAAAGACATGACTTCAGGTGATTTAGCACGAGAATGTCGTAAATATAGAACATAAGTGGGGTACTGCTAATGCAATGCAAATGCGGTATCCGTAAAATGTGAATGAATTTATGTAAATAAAAAAAAGACTTGAATTGTCCGGAGTTATCAGTATAAAACGAAACAGATTAAAACAACACACATGTACATCGTTGCGTTATTAAGGCGCAGCAAAACTATTCCTCTGTAGCGACCCTGTCAGTCTCAGAGCTTCACGATTTCCAGAACGAACTAGCCGTGGACAGGTTTACCCATAACAATCATTAACGAAGGCCAAAAAATGCGGTCAAGGTCGCGACGCTGTCCATTTGTTCGCCTTCTTACGCCTGTCACCGACTTCCGAAGCTCCAAGAATTGTACAACATCCAACATGTTAATGTGTGTTCGAAAAAGGTTTGATAGATAGGTGGTAATTTTTGAAAATATTTTTTGAGGATAATATCCAAGATATTATGAACATGGGATAAATATTTGTACATTATTTTGACATAAACGTAGCGAGGTTTCTTGTATAAATATTTAAGTGATGAAGGAGACCATTCTAGGTCAAAATACAAAATCAAAAAAATGCAATAAATATGTATGGAAGCATTAAACAAACTATAGATACACAGGAAGATTGGATAATACGCAATCGAGCATCTAAGAAATGTGACAAGCACAAAAATATTTTTAAAGAATTTATAGAAAGGCATTAAATATATTGAATCATCCGGGAAACTATTTCAAAAGCCCTACGTCTCATATGACATTGCCACGATTCGAACTGCACATCCCTGAAGTGAATGACACGCCACGCCACCGGTCATCTCCAAATAAACATGCTTCGTTACCATTTCCAAACGATATTAAAGTAAATAATGTCATTAGGCTGATCAGCGCCAAACAACAGTCGTGGCTCAAGTTTTTAACGAGAGGTAATAAGCCGAGGTTTTCAACCAACCGAGTCTGTTATTTATATCATCGCCCACGGATCGTTCAATACGTACCTTATGCCTTCTTAAAAGAGAAAAGCGACATAATCACTTGAAGTCATGTCTTTTTCATTTCTCACAAAATATCATCTTCACGTGTTTACCAATTTCAGCAGTTGTTGTACCACTCGTTAACTGAAAACAAATTTTAACTAGTGGTGCTACACATTGGCACAGACTTTCCCGTAATGGATTTCTATTTCCTTTAGTCTCGGCTAGCTAGTCGGTCTTGCCACATACTATTGCCAGCTGCTATCTATCGCCGCCCAAAGTACACTTTTTAGAACTTTTCTTAATTTTGCTGTTTCCTAATTGTAGAACGGAAGCATTATTTTAATAATATTAAAGAACCAAAAACGTCGTTCTAAATGGGCATTTTATTTGAAAAAATTGGAGCCGTTTTTAAGGAAATGGCGTTTAAGCTCTACTGTAAATGCAAAATTTGAACCTCTTTTCACAAGTAACTATTGAGGTTCTGGAAATAATCGCACTCATATGTCATCAACAAATTTACTTCCATTATTGTCAACGTCCCGCGGTCTTTTACATCCTTAACAAACGCCGGCCATCAAGATGGAGATTTCGTTCTTCCGTTTGGTCGCGTAACGTGGCGACGGCATGGGGGAAGGCCGCTCACCTGGTAGACGCGCACCACCCTGCCGGCGTCGGCGGGCGGCGGCACCACCTGGCTGGTGCGCGCCGTGGAGAAGAGCTGCTGGCGCGGGGGCTGCGGCAGCGCGTGGGTGCGCGCCGGCCGCGCGGGCGCCGCCGGCATGGGCGTCTGCATGACGCGCGACTGCCGCTG